ACACTATTTGGAAGTCCACCTGCTCTCCCTGAGCCTGCCCGCAGAGGCACCCTTTTCTTAAATCTCACGGTGGCGGAGCTCTTTGGCACCAGGGACTCCCCTCGGAGAAAAGGCTCCTGCATGGAGGCCCACCAGGATCCCTGGAGCTTCTGGGGCCCCTGGGTCACCTCACTTCTCCCACCAGCAACAATTTCCTCAGAGGTGAGAGGGCAAACCTTTTCCAGTGCTTTCGATCTCCATCAAGGGCACTGCGGGGCAATGATGGTGGTCTTCTCAGGAGCCTAGTAATTTGCCCTAAGGGTTCTCTGGCAGAAAACATGTACTTCAATATTCTGCTGCTCTGTCCTGGTTCCTCAAGCCAAGGTGTGCGGGGGGCCCCCCTCAATCCTCTCGTTCCCAGAATGCCTCAGATGCGGACACAGCTCTAGACTGAAAGGTCACTGCGCCGCAGGTGGGCTTCTGCTTCCTCCAGCTGGTTGTGGAATCTGGGGAGTTGAGCAGCTTTTTGAGTTTGAAGTGGGACAGTGCGGGGCTTGACAGTGGTTAATCTCCCAATCTGGGCCTTGAAATTCCTGTAAGGCTCTGCGTGTGGACTTACCGTCTGGAATATGTAGGCTGGGTTGTCGTGGTCACAGAGCGGACTGGGGTCTCTGGCCCCTGGAACAACAGTGTCTATTGCTTTATGGGGAAGGCAGGACTTGGCCCCATGATTGTAAGAGATGTGAGACTAATCCTTTTTTTTTAAGATTTATTTATTTATGCATACAAGAGCTGGGGTACAGGCCAGAGGTGTGGAGGGGTGAGAGGATTCAAACAGATACAGAGCGGGGAGCAGAACAGGCAGATTGACCAAAGTACACTGATGAGGGGAGCAGCGGGCAAGTCAGGAGAGGTCTGCTGCGCCATGTGGGTAGCTCCCTGGCCTGCCGGGGGATCGAACTTGTGCTGCAGAGGCTGCGGACAGCTTCATAGGTTGCGTCTTAACCCCTTGTGCCACCAGGGAGGCCTGGAAGTTTGCCTTTTTACAGCATTTTCATTCACCTCAGCCAGAGCTGAGCAGCAAATCTCCATGTGGTCCAAAGATTCACAATGTTTTATGCCTGATGTCTTCTGTCTCTCATTCTGCCATTTGTCTGGCCCACCTCCATCACGCTACCTTATTATCTATTTGCATATTATATAATACAAGTTATTACATACAATAATTATATATTTGCACCATCTGTTTTATATAATACATATTATGATCTATACTAATTCTTTAATTGTATGATTTAATATACATGTATGATTAATTTCTATCTTGTATTATGTGGCTTTATATATAAACATATAAACTTTATAATTGTCAATATACCACTTTATAGACTATATGTGTATATAATAATATGCACATATATCTAAATGACATGGCACACAGTAGGGACTTTTCAGTCTACATTATAGAAAGAACAGTCAGATACTTTTATACTTTTTTTATACTTTTATAGAAATAAAATGGGAAATTTTAACAAACTATTTAAACTATTTTTAATAGATTTCCTTCACAGCAGAAATATTTTGTGGCCTCCCACTACCTGCAGGGTAGAAGCCCCCCTTTTTTTAAAGATTTATTTATTTATGCATACAAGAACTGGGGTACAGGCCAGAGGTGTGGGGGGGTGAGAGGATTCACCAGAGACAGAGTGGGGAACAGAACAGGCAGACTGACTGAAACACACTGCTGAGGGGAGCAAGTAGGGAGATAGGAGAGGTCTGCTCCGTCATGTGGGTCACCTCCCTGGCTGGCCAGGGATCGAACTCATGCTGCAGAGGCTGTGGATAGCTTCATAGTGCTGTGCTTACCCCTTGCACCTTGCAGGGAGGCCCAAGCCCCTTTCTCTTTGCTTTCTTGCATTTGCACTTTAGCATCTTCTAGAAGGCTGAGCCGTTGTGCCGCAGGTGTCCCACTCCACCGGCCGTGCGCCCTATGCCCCCTCCGCCCACCCTCTCTGTATCTGACGCTGTGCTCATCACCACGTGTGGCTGCAGCATCTGCACAGGCGTTCTGTTTGCAAAGCAACCCCATGGCAGCACCGAGAGTAAGGCCCAAGGTAACCCCCCAGCCAGGCCCAATGTCAGGACGTCGGGCCCCCTGTGTCCCTGGGCTTCTCAAAGGCCATGGTGGTTACCAGTGTCATCATCTGGGCTGAGGAGGTCCTCACAACTCCCGCTTTCCGGGCAGTGAGGGCATTGCAGACGCTCTCTGGGCCACACTTGGTAAGGACGTGAGCCCCATCCCCACCACCAGTCAGGCTTGTACAAGATGCCCCAGGCAAGCAGCAGGGCTGTGGGTCACCTGCCATTGCCACTTTGCTCACTGGCGCCATCTGTGGGCGAGAGATGGACTCGGGCCCCAGAGTCCCTAAATGATCAGAACCACGGTTTGGACCAAGGCCTGAGGGAAGATCCAGGGGTGAGGTGTGCTGGCATCGGGACTGGCAGGAAGGGAGGGCAGCCATAACAGGGTCTCCCTGGGGATCGCCGTGCTCATGCCAGACCCCGTCCTGTCCAGCCTCTGAGACAGGTCTCAGGGGCAGGCTCCCTCTCCTGAGGTGGGCAGAAGGAACAAGTGGAGGCAGGTGAGCGGGAGCCGTCACAGAAGCAGAACAGGTTTGAGATGGACGAGAGCCTGGGAGGACAGGAAACCCTACACCTCACACAGGTGGTCCCAGGCCTCAGGCAGGGCACTCCGCACCCCGGTCAGGGCAGGGAGTCCCAGACTTTCAAGGAAACCCCACGTCTTTGTCTGCAGTCCAGTCACCTCTCAGGGCCGGGGACAGGGCCTCAGGGGGGCTGCTGTGTGCTCTGTGGACAGCTGTGACCGGCTGAGCCCAGGGGCGTCCTCACCTCAGCTGATGTGAGTGAGGGAGCATCCTGGGGTGAGCACCCAACATCCCTGCTCCTAACAGTTAAGGGAACAATACTGAGGTGTGGGGACAGCCTGGCTGAAAACTAGCCACGACTTTCCTGTAAACTCATTACCCCAAGTCTTTCCTGCTTCTTCCTCTTCTGAGGACAGAGGGACTTTTTGTCCTAAAAATGGAACTTTTTGTCCTAAAAATGGAAATGTTGCCAGCCCCAGGGGAGAGTTGAGTGCTTTGTTTTTAAAAGCCTAGGCTCATAAAATTATAATAGCAGAGGTTTGGGAGAGAGGAAGGCTCCATGGACTGAGTCCAAAGAAAAGGCTAGAATGGAGGTGACTGGGGACAGGTGTTCCTGAGTGCCGGGACCTGCCTCCACAGGGCGGGGAGGTGGCAGGGCCTCAGCCTGGGGAAGCGACGAGCAGATATGTCTCAGCACACTGTCCCTGAGAGACCTGACTCTGGGGTCCACCGGGGAGTCCAGACAAAGCCTGTGTTAGTCGGGGGTCTAGAGAAACAGAACCATCGAGATGAGTAGGTGATAAGGAGCTGCCTCGCATGGAGAAGTCCCGGATCTGCAGTGGGCCACCTGGAGACAGGAGAGTTGAGACCAATGTCCCAGCTGCCAGCCCCGCACGTGAGGGGAGTGGGGAGCAAGCCCTGAAGAAGGAGAGCCCAGACCTAGAGGCTGCACCGTGTCAGGCAGAAGCAGCAGCAAAACAGGGAGCCACGACTCAAGCAGGGGCGTCCTCATTCAGCACACGAGTAAGCCCTGGGGTCCTGGTTTATTGGTTCGGGAGAGGAGCCTGGGAAATGCACCAGCTGGAAGCAACTCTCAGTGACGGTCTCATGTGCCTTTTTTTTTTTTTTAAGATTTATTTATTTATGCATACAAGAGCTGAGGTACAGGCCAGAGATGCGGGGGGTGAGAGGATTCACCAGAGACAGAGTGGGGAGCAGAACAGGCAGACTGACTGAAATACACTGCTGAGGGGAGCAGCGGGTGAGACAGGAGAGGTCTGCTGTGCCATGTGGGTAGCTGCCTGGCCGGGGATAGAACTTGTGCTTCAGAGGCTGCGGACAGCTTCATAGGTTGTGTCTTAACCCCTTATGTCACCAGGGAGGCCCTCACATGCCTTCCTAAGTGACGGCAGGGCTGGACCTTCCAGGTCTTGGGAACCTAAAGGTGGCCTTTCTGGTACCTGAATGTTGAGAAGCCTGTTGCTGCCCATGAGGGGCCTTTGGGAGGCAGCGGCAGGACAAGCGGGGTGCAGAATAAGAAAGGAAGAGGACAAGATCGAGCTATGAATAGTTCTTTCTGCAGCGTCACTAGGGCCGGGCAGTGGTGAGGGCTGCGGCTCCCCGACCCAGAGGCTGAACTTGGACACGCGGGCTCTTGTCTGGAAGTCCAGGGAGGTGATCACCAGAGCACCTGCCCAGATTCCTCCCCCCGGCAGCCCATGTGGGGATGTTGGGGCCACTGAGACACCACCTCCCCCTCAGCCGCAGGGGATCCTGGAAGGGAGGAGGTGAGATCAGGCAGAGCAGGAGCTGGAGCCAGAGGGACGGCCCAGGCCGCTCACCAAGACCTCAGGGGAGCGGTAACCCCAGGCCCGCACGGGGTGCGGTCTACGGGGGTGGACGGCTTTCCCCGAGGCGTCGTCACCACAGACCAGGGGTCCGCCGCCCGTGATGACCGGGACCGTGGGGGACAGAACTGGGCCAAGCTTCAGGGTGAGGCTGATGACCTCAGCAGCTTCGGGTGGGAGACGGGTCCAGGGTGTCCAGGGTGTCGGCAGAAGGCCAGGGGCTGAGCGGCCGCGGGGTCAGACAGCAGAGGGCGGTGACTCCCGGGCTCCAGCCTCCTGCTCCCCACGGCGAGGGGTCCTGAGACTTCCCAGGCCGGCCCTCTCAACCCGCTGGTTCTGGGGGGGCAGTGCTGGCAACCATGGGTTCTTATGACTGGTAGCAAGGAGATGGGGCAGGTTGGGGTTCACATCTCAGGGCCCCCAAGCAGCTGGTGCCTCCATCAGGGAGTACTGGAAAAATCTGCCAGAGTCTTGCATTTGAGACACATTTTCTTTATTTTTTTTTAAGTGCACTGTGACCCTCCCTCTGTCAACAAGATCTGTCAGGTTTGAAAATGAAAGTAATTTGCAGGGAGTCGTCTCTGGACGGCTGGTGAGTCCTGAGAATCCGTCTGCTGTTAGTCTGTGTCAGTTTTAGAGCCACTGGGGGGAGCTTTGCGATGTACCTAGTCGTGTGGTTTCCGCTCTCAAGTGTTTCCCTTAATTCCCTTATTAGTGCAGCTAAAACCCGATCCCATCCAACTGGGGAGTGACATTAGCTGAGGCGGAGACGTCTTCTGAGATCCTGCTCTTCTCTCCATGGCCCTCTGGGTCTGAAAGTGGTGGCCGTGCGGTTCGCCCCGATTGTGTGAAGAGTCACCGCCTTCGTCTCGCCACCCGTGTTCTCCAGCTGTTAACAACCACCCCTGATGAGACTGCAGGTTCCCGCGTAGCGCCGGCGGCCGGGGACAGGCCCGGGCCTCTCCCTCCTCCCTCGCAAGGCCGACTTAATTTGGGGGCCCCCCCATGCCCAAGGGCTCAAGAGCGGAGCTTCTTTGCAGTGGGCTGATTGGGCCCAGAAGGGGAGAAGGTGGCTTCATGCCTACATCGGGGGGCTCAAGGGCACATATTTGCCCTTCGCTGCTCCTCGATGCCAGCTGTGGGGCTCCTGTTCACCTGAGGGGAGGGACACCCCGAGGGGAGTGGCGGTGCTGGGTGCATGTCCCCGTGCCAGCTCCGCTGCATTCTCCCCTCCCCCCCATTTCTCCCCCACCCTTCCCTGCCGGCCCCCATCCAGGTTGTTCCAGGCAGGGGGGATGAGCCGAGGGGAAGGGACATGAATCCACAGGGGAGCGAGGTCGCCCCAGACGCTGCGCGCACACGGCGTGGAATGAGGTCCCCGTGGGCTGCGTTCTGTGGGATTCGACGGTGGCGCTGCCGGCACAGGCGGATTCTGTTTGGACATGCAGAGCCGGTGACTCAGGAGCCGATCTGCCCGGCGAGGCTGTTTCCACGCCGCCTGGGGTGAGCCGCACGCAGCCCTGCAGCCCGACCTCCGCGCCGCTGGGCACCCCACTCCAGGGGGCGGGTGACCACCTGGCACTGCCTTGAGCAGTTCGTGTGTCAGAGCAACAGAGATGAGGGGGCCGGGGTGAGGGGGGCAGGGGTGAGGGGGGCAGGGGTGAGGGGGGGGCTGGCTGAGGAACCAGGAGGCTCCATAGCAGGGTCCGCACCGCCTCCCCAGCCCCGGCTCCAGCCCCTGACTGCAGGGACCAGGTCAGCCGAAGGCCACGAAGGAAACTCTGGGGAACCAAGAGGAGGAAGGGAGCCGGCCGCAGGGAGGGGAGAAAAGACGCGTTTGTGGGACGACATCCTGGCCGTCCCCCCAGGACTCTCCTCGAGGGGGAGAAATCACGCCAAGCAGCCCGGACAGTGCACTGCGGGCGTCCTTTAGTTCATAAATACTCACAGTCGCTGAGGTGACGACCTCCGAGAGCCCGGGACCGGCGTGGCAGGTGGTATTTGGGGTCCCAAGGATGATTTTGTGAGGCCAGAGACGAACGCGGAGCCGCAGTCAGCCGGTGAGGTGCTGGCTGAAGTCGGGGCTGGGGCGGGGAGGACGGGGCCCCACGGGCGGGCGGCATGTGAGCTGCAGACGGTGCCCAGGAGCTGGCCGTGCAGAAACCACTCCTGCCCCTCACCTGCGCGCCCGGGAGCCCTGGAAGAACCAGAATGCCAGCGGGTGACAGCCGCCAGGCCCCGGGTGGTTTGCTTCCTCCCTGAGAGTCTGCCGGGACGTCGTTTACACCCTGACAGTTCTGGGGCCCTTGCAGGCTCACGGGGCCCCCTCCATCTCCCGCGGCAGCCAGCGTGGGCCAAGGGCGCCTGCCGGAGCCGCTTCCCGCAGCCAGCCGGTGACTTGGAACTGACCTTGGAAGGGATTTCTGCGGCCCTGGGGACTCAGGACATTCCTCAGCCACACAAATGACAAATGAAAAGGGGTTCGGCCTCATTCACAGCTAAAGAAACGCAAGTGGAGATGTCCTGTTCTCACCCGGCAGGTTTGTGAACACTAAGAAGACTGCAGAGGCCGGAGGAGACGCGCACCCTCACCCTCTGGGACCCCTCACCTCTGGGACTGCGCGCCCAGTTTGAAACGGGCCCACCCTTGCGGGCATCCTGGTCTCATGGGCCTCTTCTGAAGGTATCAGATGTGTGAGTTATTTGGTTTTTTAAATTTTTTAAATTTCTTTTTTTTTTTTTAAAGATTTATTTATTTATACAAGCACTGGGTACAGTCAGAAGCGCGGGAGGGTGAGAGAATTCACCAGAGCCAGAGCGGGGAGCAGAGCAGGCAGAAGGACCGAAGTACACTGCTGAGGGGAGCAGCGGGCGGCAGGAGAGGTCTGTGTGCCATGCGGGACCCTCCTTGGGTGGCCGGGGAGCAGCCGGGGATCGAACCGGCGCCGCAGAGGCCACGGGCAGCTTCGCAGCCCAGCGCTCAACCGCTGCGCCACCAGGGGAGGCCCCATGTGAGTTTCTTAAAAAGCAGTGTGCAAAGATGGTCCTTAAATTGTCACCGTGCCACCTGCGCATGACTAAAACCCAGACTCGAGCAGGCTGAATGCTGATAATGGAGACCTCCGGGTCATGAAACCCGGGGCCTGCCGCTGTCTACACTGGGTGTTTCTGTGATATCTGAGTTTTGTCCCACCGGCATGGATTGCTGTTGTGAGCAAAAGAAAAGGATTTCAAAATGCGGGAAGCTGGCAAGGACTAGAGTGAATATTTGCGTGGCGCTCCTCCTGGCGGGCCAGCATCTAAGAGCCTGGAAGCTTTCGGGTCATTCGCCTGCCTGAAGCCTCCCAGTGTGGAAGTGCTAAACAGAAGGCGTGGCCGGGACTGCGTGGAAGGCCGGCTTCACCCCAGGGCGCCCAAGCCCAGGGAGCGCACCCAGCTCGGACGCGGGCTTTCTACCACCTGCAGGCAGGAAGTTATGTACCAACATGTGGCCAAAAAGGGAATGAGGGATACTCCAGGGTCCCATGAACCCACAGAACGGAGCAAGCAAGCCTCAGGAGGTGCCGGAAGCAGAGATACTGCAGGGCCCCGAGAAGTAACTTAGGGGTCGTCTCTCTGGAGAGAGCTGTCTCTGGTGGGAGCTGTGGCAACTCCTGGCTCTGGGTCTCTCAGATCAAGCTCAGAGGCGAATCTGACTGGAACAGCCGAGTCCATGACAGTGCGGGGCGGGAGTGCAGAGACCCCCCACGGGCGTCTCCCGAGCTGTCCCCACAGCAGCCCTCCGGTCGGGTGGCTTACATCGGTTTGCCGGAGCTGCCGTCACGAAGGATCACGGACGGAATGGCTTCAGCAGCAGACACTCATTTGCTCCCTGTTCCGGATGTCGGAAGCCCAGGATGACCGTGCCACCAGGGCTGCTGAGGAAGAAGCGTGCCAGACCCCTCCGCTCTAGCTGCTCCAGGAGCTTGGGGTCTGGTTACTCACTACGCTTGAGGTGAAAGCTGTAAGACAAGAGTTGGGGAAGGAAATTAGGTTTAATTGGGAGCAGCCTCCTGAGGATGGCAGGTGGTAGAAGATCCCAGTCCAACGACTAGCACCTGGGGGCGCGCCCTGGGCTTGGAGCGCTGGGGTGAAGCCGGACTTCGGGGCAGTGTCCACCGCGCCCTCCGTTTGCAACTTCCACCCTGGGAGGCTGCAGGCCGGTGAAGGACCCGAAAGTTGCAAGGGGTTCAGATGCTGGCTGGCCAGGGGAAATGGGGGGCTGCTCTCTCAAAGGCCGTGCTCCTGAATTGGGGGAAGCAGCCTGGCATGGGGGAGTACGCGGAGCAGGGAGACCTGAGTGTTGAGCCATCAGCAGGACGTCAGAGAAACAGGCAGGGTCTCCAGGAGCCGCATTCACGCCCTCTCCGCCCGGCTGGCCCGGGCCAGGCCTCCCCAGCACGGAGGCCTGTGCCTGTGGCTGCGAGGCTCTGCCTGACCCCCCGTCTTACTTCTGCCTGCCTCTTGGTTTCCGCAGGTGCCTGGTTTTCTGGTTTGTCTCCCCGAAAGGACAAGCAAGAGCAGAGAGCAGTGACCTGCTCTCTGGCCTTCCTTGGCCGGCGAAAGCGTCGCCCTGAAGTCCGCGCCAGGCCTGCAGGGCGCCCCTCGGGTGCCACCTGCGCGGACCGGCCGGGCCCGCGCCTCCCACGGCGTGAGAACCACCCGCTTTCACGTGGCTTCAGGCCGCGGGTTTCAGCGAGGCGGGCTGGAGGGACGGCGGCCTCGGAGCAGCAGCCCCCGGTTCTCTGCGCGGGGAACGTGGCGCCCCTTGTCCCACCACACTGGCCGGACAACCAGCTCCGTGACCCTCTGCAGGCCGCCCCGCTTCCTCTGCGCCCCGAGATCTCGCCGACATCCCGGGGTCTCCGGTGCGGCCGGAGCTGTGGCCCTGAGAACCTGCGCGCCGGGTGGGGCAGGGATGGCGCAGGGGGCGAGGCAGGCGCGGCTCCGGGCTCGCCCTTGGGGTGAGCTCCCCGCTCCCTGGAGCTCGGCCCCCCGGAACCCCGCGCTGTCGGGACCGGCCCTTGGGCTCCGGGGAGGGCGGGCCTGGCTGGGGGGGCGGGGGCGGGGCCACGTGACGGGCGCGGCCAATCACCGCGGGACCCGGGGCGCGGGCGTGGCCGGGGAGCGCTGGGGGCCCGAGCCCCGCCCCGCACGCGCGCGCCTACCTGGCCCAGGTGCGCGCCCCGCCTGGCTCCGCGGCCGGGCGCGCGGGAGGGAGCCGGCCCGGGCGCAGCCCCCCATGGAGCCCTCGGGGAGCCGGGCCCCGGAGCCGGGGCGGCCGCACATCCCGGCGGGGCAGCGACGGCCCGAGCCCCCCGAGAGCAGCCCGAGCCCGGCTCCCGCGGTGGAGGAGGCGGGGGGCGCGGGCCGGGACCCCGCGGGCGGGCAGAGGCCGCCGCCCCCGCGCCCCGCGCTCCTGCGGGTGCCGCCCCCCAGCCTGGGCTACGGCGCGTTCCGCCGGCAGGTGTCCGCGGGCGCCGAGCCGCCGTCGCCCCTCGCCGCCCAGCCGCCCCGGGACGCCGAGGCGGCGGGGCCCGAGCCGGCGCCGGGGGAGGCGGCCGCGGGGGGCTGGGCCCCCGTGGAGCTGCAGGTGGACGTGCGCGTGACGCCCGTGGGCGCGGCGGGGGGCAGCCGCGCACCCTCGCCCGCGCCGTCCACGCGCTTCCTCGCGGTGCCGGTGCCCGAGTCCCCGGCCCGCCCGCGCCGCGCGCCCCCCGCGCTCCCGCCCCCCGCGCGCACCCCGTCCCCGGGCAGCACGTGGGGCCGCGGCGAGGGGCTCGCGGCGCCCCCGGGCGCCCCCGCGGGCCGCTGCCGCTGCGGGGAGCTGGGGCTGGAGGAGCTCGCGGTGCTGCTGCAGCGCGCGGAGACCGACGCCGCCGCCGCGAAGCTGCCCCGGGCGATCCGGCGCGTAGGTAGGTGCACCCCCGCCCTGCTGCGGCGGGGCCTGAGCGCGCCCCGCACCCCCCCCCTCCCCCGCCCGGCCCTGGGCAGCAGAGACCAGACGACCACCCGGATCCCCCCAGCGCGTCTCGGGCCTAGAATTCTCGTCCAAGTCGCGGCGAATTGCTGGGGTGAAAGGAGGGAAAGCAAGATTCTCCCCCTGTACCCCAAGAACTGTCTCATTCTCTGCAATGGTGCTCAGCGTCCCTGAGCAGCAGAGGTGGGGGACAGAGGTGGGGGAGGGCCTTAGGGGCACAGACTGAGCGGGCAGCGGAAGCAGGAGCACAGGCCTCCCCACTCGTGTCTCCAGGCTGGTCTGACCCCACCCTGCCCTGCCCTGCCCGCCCCACGCTCTTTTCCTTCCTCCGGTACTGAGGGGCCTGGGCCCCAGACTGCACAGCGGCGGCTGCTGCGGACCGTCCCGACTGCGGGGCGCGGGTGGGTCTTGTCCGTGGTGTTTGGGGGGCGGCGCAGTTGCTGGCGGGGGAGCAGAAAACGCCTGGAACAGCTACACACAGAGCTGGGGCCGGAGCCGGGAGGGGGTGGTTGGTGAGCTTGGGGGGCCATGGGAAAGCTCCCTGAAGTGAAGCCTTGAAAGGATTGTGGAGACTGGGGGTGGCAGACGCCCCTGCTCCCTGGAGAGGAGGCAGGAGCAGGGACAGAAGCCGGAGGGGCCAGAGGCGCGCCCAGCAGGCGAAGGGCCAGCTGTTTGGCGTGTTGCGGGGAAGGCCAGGCCAGCCCCACGGTCCCGGCCCCCAGGACCCGGGGCCAGGGACTCCTAGACACAGGCCGCGGTCAGGGGCTCCTTCTCAGGCCCTGTCCCAGAACTTGGGGTGAGCTCACCTCCTGCGGGTGCTGTTAGTTTTCTGTTTCTGCAGGAGCGCGTTGCCCCAGACCTAAGGGCTTAGGACGCCTTTTCTCATCTCTCTGCAGTGGTCTAAGTTTCTCATCTCTCTTTGCTCATCTCTCTGGGCAGCCGGGCTGTGTGTGTTTCCAGGGGCTCCAGGGCCCGCATCCGTGCCTTGTCCATCTTCCAGGGGTCACCTGGTGCCGCCCTGCAGCTGCCTTCAATCTGGGCACAGGAGAACTTCACGAAGCCCAAGCAGCCTGGGATGGAGCCAGGAGGGACGTGGCGGGGAGGTCTGTGGGCATGGCCTGGACGAGGGCCCTGTCGGGCATGGTCAGCCGCTGCGGGAGGAGCAGAGGGCGGCAGAGTAGATTATTTACCTGACGGCGAGGAGAACAAAGCAGCCTCTCACTGGCGGGCGTTCTGGGCCAAACTTCGTGTTTGGAAAGGCACATTGGTCTTCTAAGAGGGCCGCCCCGGTGCCTGCTCGCCAAGGCCCACAACCCTGGCTCCATCCCTGGCCTTGGAGTTGAGTAGCGGGAAAGGGGAAGGCGGTTCAGTTGGGGGGTCAAAGTGTAGGAGACTAAGATGGCAGAGCAGTGGGAGGATGTTATGCCAGAGATGTGAACCCAAGATTGGAAAGGAAACTGAGCAAGCCAGAGACGGAGCAGAAGGGGCCGCAGTACTGCCAGGCGGCGGCTCTGGGGGGCAGCCCTGTGCAGTGGGGCTGGGCGGGCTTGCAGGCGCTGAGGCTGAGACTGAAGGAAGGCCCAGGGATGGGGGAAGGGAGGACACCCTCTAAAGGAGACTGGACCGCTTCAGCTGTTTTTTGTTTTTTTCCTCAAGGAGAATGTATTCCTGTTGCTTGTACAATTAAGGGTTGTTTTTTTAAAGAAAGCGAGGCTTCCTCTTTGCCTGGAAGTTGGGGAGAGCAGGTGGCTCTGCAAGGGGCCATTTGCAAAGGCCAGGTGGCATCCTGAGTGGGGAAGGTGTGAGGCTTTCTGACACCTCCCCACCCCCATTTTTTTTTTTTTTTTTCAAGATTTATTTATGCAAACAAGAACTAGGGTACAGGCCATAAGTGTGGGGAGGTGAGAGGATTCACCAGAGACAGAGTGGGGAGCAGAACAGGCGGATCTACTGAAATACACTGCTGAGGGGAGCAGCGGGGAGACAGGAGAGGTCTGCTGCGCCATGTGGGTCAGCTCTGTGGCCGGGGATCGAACTCATGCTGCAGTGGCTACAGATAGCTTGACAGTGCTGACTTAACCCCGTGGGCCACCAGGGAGGCCCCCCCTGGATTTCTTTACTGCTTTGTTTTCTAAAAGGCCAGAGCTGAGTTCAGCGTTCAGCCTCAATAATTACATTTACCTAGGTGGTTGGTGGATTTATTTTTCTTCTCTTTGCCAGACTTTTTAGTTCTGCTTTTATTATTTTAAGATTCTCAATTTCTATGTATCTTTTATTACAAGAAATTTAAATCTCCCCCCCCTTTTTATTTCTTTTGGCAGTAACTATTAAGATACAATTCAGATACACACAAATCACCCCTTTTAAAGTATATAGTTGCACGGCCTTTGGTATATTCACAAAGTTATATAATTGTCATTCCTATCTGTTTTACAATATTTTCATCACTGGAAAAAGAAACCCTCCACCAACCCCAGGCACCACACATCTATTTTCTAAGTTTGTCTTTTCTGGGCATTTCACAAAAATGGACTCATAGGACGTGTGTCCTGTTTATGAGCAACTTCTTTCACTTAGCATAATATTTTCAAGGTTCATTCATGTTGGAGCCTGCACCAGCACCCCAACATTCCTTTCTGTGGTTGAGTAACATTCCCCTGTGTGGAGTACTACACTGTCTATCCACTTATCAGTCCATGGAAGTTGGGGTCAAACCCCTTTAAGAAAGAAGTAGACTCGGGCCTCCCTGGTGGCGCAAGGGGTTAAGCACCGCACTATGAAGCAATCCACAGCCTCTGCAGCGCGAGTTCGATTCCCGGCCGGCCAGGGAGCAACCCACATGGCACAGCAGACCTCTCCTGTCTCGCCCACTGCTCCCCTCAGCAGTGTATTTCGTCAGTCTGCCTGTTCTGCTCCCCTCTCTGTCTCTGGTGAATCCCCTCACCCTCCCGCACATCTGGCCTGTACCCCGGTTCTTGTATAAATAAATAAATCTTAAAAAAAAAAAGTACACTAAACTAACATAAAAAAGAGAGAGAGAAAGAAAAGTAGATTATGTCATTTAAAAAAAAAAAAAAACTGTCCATGAAAGGTCACAGAGGGAGTGTCAGCTTCTCATACATCAGAGTAACGTTTTCCTTCCCAGTCCTTGTAAGAAGCCGTGCTTTCTCCAGTGCACATGGGGAGAGGGGGCTTCCAAAGTGCTTGTGCTTTTGACGTTGAATTATGATTGAAAAGGTGTTTTATTAAAAGCCTCGGAAATGCCCCTCTCTCCCTCTCTCTCTCACTCTCACTGTGTGTGTAACACACACGTGTGTATTGATGGGTGGGTCGATGCCAGAGCACATGTGGTTTTCTTTTTAATGAAATTAGTCTTTTCAAAACAACGGCGTGTCTGCTCCAGGATTACCTCTGCTTCCTCAAACTTCGGAGAACAGGGTAATTGAGTCCTTGGGACCTCACACTGATTATGTGGTGTTCCTGAGCCTCAAACCTCAATTCCCGGGGTTTGGTTGGGGCCTGGCTCCCCTCAGCGTTGGGGGGCGTGCTGGGGGGACGCTCGCCTTACTCTGATTGATTCCACGTTTCCCTGGGACCCGGGTCAGGAGTGCTGCCGCCGCCGGTGGTGGTTGCAGGTTGAAAGCTGCTTCTAGCCCTCAGTGGCTGTGATTAAGCTTTTACTGAGTTTTATTCCCCAAGCTTCCCCCTCGGGCCACTCTGGTTACTCTGTCAACGGGAAGATGTGGCCTCTGAGTGTGTTCTGCCTCCCAGCCTTTGCCTGCGCTGGCTCCCGCCCGCGTGCCCTGCCTCTCGGCCCTTCCCCTGCAGCTCGTTCCCCCATCTGGGCTCCTGGGCCCACAGCTGTGTCCTGCCCTGCAGCCCGGGAGGCGCCCCCTCCTCGGTCTCCAGCGACCTGGGAGATGGGCGGGGCAGGCGTGCGTCCTGTGATGAGAGGCCCGGGAGTGGGGATTTGAACCCGCATCTCTCAGACTCCAGTCTGGCCCTCTTCTCTCGGGGCAGTCTACCTCCTGGGGCCCTTCCTCTCCCCTCATCTCCTTCGTGAGGGGCCTGGCTGCTCCCGGTCGGGTTCGCACCGAGTCTAAGGCCGGTGCTCCACAGATGATTGTCTGCCAGTTACTTGTTCTTGAATAGAATCTTCCATCTTACAGTTATGAAAGAAGTGGAACCTCATCTCACACTTTTCTTCCAAAAGGAAGCTCTAAGCTGAGCAAAGCGGTTCACCCTGGTGTCCTGGCCGAGGGGGCAGGGGTCGAGTTGGGGTGCCTCTGGGCTGGGCACCATTGGTGGTCTCCTCACCCCTGTCTCTGCTTGCTCCCCGCACCAGGGCTACCCGTGTACCTGAGGTCCCTGCAGTGGGCCCTGGCGATCGTGACTGTTTTCCTGGCTGTGTCCGCGGTGGCTATCGTGGCCCTGGCCTCCAGAGTAGGTATGGTGGCTCCTCCCTACCCCCTCCTCTGCTGCATCACCAGGCCGTCCATCTTTATGGTATCCCCCGGCCCTGTGAGAGTTAGGAAAATACTCGCACTTGAGTAGAGGCAGCGCCAAGACTGGGGCTGCTAGAACAAAGGTAAGACACGGCCCACCTGCTGGCCACACTGGGTGCCAGCCCCCATGGGGGCTTTATACCCTGTCCAAAGTGCAGCCTTTCTGGGGCCCTCCATGCTCGCCACTTGCACACCTCCAGGTTGGCTACCTGAGGTCAAGGTAGCAGTCCACTCTGGGTGTCTCAATGTACATCCACGCTCCTGCAGCCTGCTTTGCAGCTCACCAGGTCTCGTGCTTGCAGGGGCCAGCTGCCAGCCATGCCCCACGGGCTGGATGTGGTCCGACGAGCACTGCTACTACCTGTCCACTGAAGCGCAGGCCTGGGAGGCCAGCCAAGCCTTCTGCTCAGCCCACCAAGCCACCCTCCCCCTGCTGAGTCACACCCAGGTGAGACGGGGTTCTGGATGGGGCAGCCCAGGGCTGGGGAGAGCATTACCGGTTGCAGACCCTAGTGCTAGAGGGAAGTTGCAGGATCTCATCCAACTCTGCATTGCAGAAAAAGTCACCAAGGCCTGGTTAATAAAGTGACATGCAGGGGTAGCAGACAGTGGTGCCTGAGGTCTTCCATTTTCTCTTCACTCTCAGTTGTGAAGGGGGAGCTGGGAAGGCTGGAGGAGGGATGCTCCCACCCAGCCCAGGGGTCAACAGTGAGCTGGGGATCCAGCCATGCTGGCAAGCCTAGTGGGAGAGAGATGTGCTCTTGGGGGATATTTAGTGGGTATAACAAAGATCCTGGTCTAATAATGCTGGGTACTAATCACCCTAAAGTCAAAAAGCATTTGTTTCTCGATCCTTGGTGTTGGGGAGGACTGTTGATCTTGTCTTGGCTCGAGACTTCCAGGTCTCTCTGAGTCTCTTGTGGGACAAATTCTTCATAAGAAAAATGGCAGAAGGCAAGGACACAGCACCATCTAAGATCTCTGTTCATGTCATACCTGCTAGCACTGCTCTGGCCAAAGTAAACAGCATAGTCATAGCCAATGTCAAAGGGACGGGGTAGTATATCCCCAGGGGAGAGGGAGAAGCGTGAATATTTGCTCAATAGTAATTCCGCCAATGAGTTTGGGAGTGGCTATAAAAAGACCTGAAACTGGATCAGCCGTTGGCTTCATTTTATCTAAGTTAGGGCAGGTGCCAAGAATTGACATCAGCTGTTCTGATGTGCATGCGATGGCAGCATTCCTTCAGTCAGTGCATTATTAGCAAATATGTATGGAGCACCTACTCTGTGTTTGTCACTGGGCAGTGGAGGATGAGCACAGACTCCATCTTGGCACAGTGAAGAGAAGGCACCTGTGCTCTGAGAATATATGCTACAAGCAAGTGACCTGAAGGTCACATGTGACCTTTAAAAGTAACTAAATAAAGGTCTGGGAGACTGGGCACAATAGCTCCCGGAATCCTCTCGTCTCTGCTTCGTTCTAGCCTGGTTGCTCAGTGGGCATGTTGCACACTGCTAAATTGGGGTTTCTGTTTACCTCCACCCTCTGTACACCTTTGCCTCTTTCCTGTGTGGGACTCTCTGTTTCCTAGATCCATGTTTTCTTGGTGGAGCACTTCCTCTGTAAACTTCCTGGAGAAAAAAGTGTGTAAGAGGTAAATTTTTTCAGACCTTTTGTGGCTGAAGATTCTTTTGTTCTAACTGCTTATTGACTGATAGCATGGCTGGGTATAGAATTGTAGTTTGGAAACAGTCTCCCCCAGACCAGAATTTGTAGGCTTTGCTCCATTATTGAATCTTGATATTAATAAGCCTACATTCTGATTTTTAATCAGATGTAGGTGGCTCATTCCTTCCCACCCCAGAAAGTTTCTGTTGACCCTTAACTGTTGTAATTAAGAGAAAGACATTAACTAGCAGATTGGAAGCTCTGTGTCAGAGGTTTGAGGAGGGTGAGTAGGTGATTGGGCCTTTTGTAGAGGCAGGATTTGCAATAGGGGAATCAGGTAGAGACTCATCCCTTTTAGTAAATGCTAAACTGTCAGCGTTCCAGGAGCAGTGGGGGAAGAGAGGAAATGTTTCACCTGTAAGAACATAGCTCTCTCTTTTTAATAGCGTCATCCCTAAGTCAAACCTGTTCTGGATCCCAAAATCCCCTATGGCTTATTTCTGTGGAGTTCTGGTAATCTGGCTGCTTGGGAGAGGTAGGTTGACTTTGAGAGAGGGGGTTGTTTATAGATTTCCAACCAGTCTTCTTTTTGTAGGCCCTTGCTCCTGTACTTTGGCCTTCAGAGAGACCTCTTGCTCTACTATTTAAGCCTTTCAGTATTAGGACTTCATACAAATTGGTGTGTTTCATTTTTCAGCTTCCTTCTACTCCACCTGTGTAAAACTATTGAGTTTTTGTGGCCAATTACAGTTGTCCAGCTTCCAAAATTTTGTTGACATTTCTCATCTGCTGTCATTGCCTCCCATTCTCATTGAAGGAAGTTCCCTTCTATTTCTATTTGTTAAGAGCTCAAAACATGAATGTGCTTACTTTCTTTGAATGCTTTTTTAATGCACATTGTGATGATGAAATGTCTTGTTTCCTCCTCTAATCTCTTCTTGTGAATTATATTGATTTTTTTAAAATCCTTGGCCTCCTGTGGTAAAGTTTACTTAAGCATGATTTTTTTCCTTCCCAAAATACTTCCAGATTTGACTTGTTAACTTAAGATTTCACATGCATGACTGTTCCTGTCCAGTCTTGAAATCAAAGGTAGTCTGTCCTATGCAATGTGAAGGGCAATTTCTTTGTTATTCTTTTTTCTGGGAGAGTTCCATGGAAGTGGATATAAGAATCTGCTGGAGAGAATGTTTTACAGTGAATATGGATTATTATTAAGAATAAAGTTTATTTTCAAAAACATGGGAAATTTAAAAAAATCAAATCTGCCCCCCCTGTATGGTAAATGTTATTTAAAAACAAAATTCACAAATTTAGAGCTCTAATTGGCTTTATTAGGTGATTCATGAGTCAGACAGCATCCCATTTAGATACTGCAAGGGCTCACACAAAGTAGAATCTCCTAATAGAGGGTGGAACAAGGTTATTAGCAAAAGAAAAGATTTCAGGTGAAATCACTTCCCCTCAGAGGATGGCCAGGGTTACTTATCGTATGTCATTAGTGTTGATTAGGAAACTCCAGATCGATTGATTTAGGATTTCTCTTTTTATTTTTTTTTTAAGATTTATTTATTTATGCATATAAGAACTGGCATCTAAGCCAGAGATTGGGGTGGGGGATGGGGAGCAGTGAGAGGATTCACCTGAGATAGAGTGGGGAGCAGAACAGGTGGATCTACTGAAATACTCTGCTAAGGGGAGCAGCGGGCGAGACAGGAGAGATCTGCTGTGCCATGTGGGTCAGCTCCCTGGCTGGGATCAAACTCATGTTGCAGTGGCTGGAGATAGCTTAATAGCACTGAGACTTAACCCCTGCACCACCAGGGAGGACCAGGATTGCTCTTTTGGGAGAGGTTAAAACTGCAATAAATATTAAGTCTGGATGGGAGCCTGGCAGGAAGGACTCCATTTTAGGTTTGTTTTTTCTGTTTTTGACAATATGCCAAAAAATTAGTTATCACTAATATTTTAATAGTGATTATCACTGAGAGGCAAGTTTATGAGATTTTTTTTCTTCCCTAAAGCTTTTTAAATTTTTAAATGTTCTATATTAATGATGGTCTAAGCTTGGGAGGGAAATGCTAGAGGAATGTTAGCCCACAAAAGCAGGAGATCAGTATACGACTATTTCTTCCTGGGGCCTGGCCAGTCTGGGCTATTATAACTATGCGCAGGAAACCTTCCCAGGCTCTTCACCAGATGACATCTGGTTGTGTAGCAAAATGAAGGCCCATGGGAACCGGTGGTCCCTAACTAGTACCTGCAAAGAGGAAGGTGTCCCTAGCAGGAGGGGACTTAGCAGCCCAACACCATATCCTCACATCCTGAGACACACCCACAAAGCACAGCAAGCACTGAGAAAGCTGGGGGAGGGGAGGGTGTCTCCCCCCACTTGCTGTCAGCCAGGTTCTGCCCAGAGTGATCTGGACCTGGCTGAGCAGAGAGACTCCTGGCTGGTGGGTCTTCAAAGGGGGAGATGGATCAAGCTATGCAGATAGCAAGTAGAGCTTGAGATAAAGAATTCTTTTTAAAAAGCAGGCACACAGCATCAGTCATTTGAAACACAACAAACTGTGCAGAGAACATATAATAAAGTCTGGATACTCTCCTTCCAGAGGAGTTGCTGCCAGAAAGTTCCCTATGAAAAGACCAGAGCTAAGATTTGAGTCTCAGGCAGTTAAAATCCATATATGATGACTAAGGAGCCCTGGAATCTGCTGATTTCTGGACAAGGGCCAGAAGCTCCAGGAGGTGCGCAGGACCAGGGTCTGTGAGCAGCCAAGACCAGACTGGCAAAAACCAGGCCCCACAGTCCCCAGGACTGTGTCAAGGTGCCAGGGAGTGGATAGTCCCAGGACAAAGTGGCTTATCTCCCCCAAGAGCTGGTTCTGCTCACAGTCAGAAGAGGTTAGGGGCTGCTGTGCCCTCAGGCCTGCAGTTCACCCTCTTTGGTTTAAGAGCAGCTTTGTCCGGCAGGGTGGAGGGAGGAAGAAGTTCCTTAAACGTGCACACCGACTGTCAGGCCTAACTCGCTTGCAGAAACACTAAAACATAAATATATGTAGGATTTATCACAGAATTAAGAAAATCGAGTCATTTGAAACACTTAACTGTTAAAGCAGAAATGTATACAGGTGGAGAGGAAGTAGAAGTGTTACAGGGCAATCCCTCTCTAAGACGGGTTGCCTGACTGTGGGTCCTGACCCACGTGCTTAAAAGGGACTTACACTGCAGGCACACACAAAAGCTTAACAAAAGGTTTATTTACAAGGGAAGGGGAATGAGGATATGTACAACTCAGGGAGAAGAGAAGGAGATAAAGTCTCAAATGCGTCCTGCCTGTTCCGCCGATCTAGAATCCCAAATGACCCGCCAAGACCAAACCTGCCTGAGACCCCACTAACATGGCTGGTTTTATTTACAAACAGAAAAAATGGCTGCTTAACTCCACCCTTAGGTCCTCGCAACTTGGGGATCATGGGATTTGTAGTTCCCAGTGTCTCGATGGAGTGGGGGTGGCATCCACAAAACCTGTATGGAGTTCATTCAGGACATCCTTTCCCCTAACAGAAGGGGCAAGCAGAGGGGAGGGGAGTGGGGCGGGGCGCTAAGGAGCACAGAGGGGTGGTTTTATGGAGCTGGTCTGGGCGCTGGGCTCTCAGGACAATGACAAGCAAGCCAACTGCGGCACAAGCTCTTACTGTAGAGGTCATGGCAGCCAGGGAGAGGCCCACGGGCACTGAGACCCGAGGACAACGGGTAGAATCAGGGACTGTCACCCCTTCCTGTCCAGTTTCCAGGGTCGGAGAGGTTTGGTCTTCATCCAGGAAGAACTGAACCCATGTTAAATTCAGTGGGTTCACTCACCTCTCGTCTGCATGCGTGCGGATGTGGGCTTCTTGGCGTTGTGAGCCCCACGGGGTGCTGGTGAGGTCTGCTCTTGTCACAAGTCTGTATTCATATTTTCCTGCGGAATGACATTTTCTATGTTCTTATCATCTTTAACAGCACTGTAATATTCCATCATGTTGATAGCCCATAATTTGCCTGCTTATTTCCCAATTGCTAAGCATTTGGATGGTTTCTGTTTTTTTAATTATAAATAAGACAGTGTTATCTTTGGGTAAGTTCACTTTCCTCTCTTTATTTCTTGGATTATTCCCCAAAGTGCAATCACCCATTCAAGTGACAGAAATGGAGTTGCCGCTCCAGTTAGCACCAAATTATGTTCTGGAAAGACTGGACCGGCCACCACCCCCCAACCACCCGCACACTGGGACTTGAAATCTGGAAACATCTTTTTCCAAGTTGGCATTTGTTTGAATACATCTTTTCACTTTGAATCATTGCTGAAAACAATAAGATATTGAGGACAAATATTTAAAAGGAAAAAAGTCAACCGTGACAGCTCTCCAACATAATTGTTTTGCTTTTTGTTGTTCTGGTGTATGCGTCCATGTGTAATATTTATACACTAGGTTTATTAGGATCTTGCCAGTTTTCATTCAGCCTTTCATTTACTTAACCCTTCATGTACTAGAACTTTCCCCCAGGTTGCTCCCCCGTATTCCTTTTTTTTTTTTAAGATTTATTTATTTATGCATACAAGAACTGGAGTGTAGGCCAGAGGTGCAGGGCATTAGAAGATTCACCAGAGACAGAGTGGGGCGCAGAACAGGGGGATTGACTGAAATACACTGCTGAGGGGAGCAGCGGGCGAGGCAGGAGAGGTCTGCTGCGCCATATGGGTCAGCTCCCTGGCCGGGGACTGAACTTGTGCTGCAGTGGCTGGCGATAGCCTGATAGCGCTGAGACTCTAACCCCTATGCCACTTGCTCCCTGGTATTCTTAAATGGCCTTAATATTGCACTGAGTGGATGCAACGTAAGTCATGGTCTGGTTGCAATTCCTTTGCCACCTGCTCCCAGGGTGCCCCGGCAGCCTAATAACGCCCAACACTCTCCCACCGGCCTGCCCACGTGCTGTCACCTGGATGTGTTTTGTGGCCCCAGCTTTGCACACGCTTCCCTCTCCTTCTCTGAATTTCTCCCCTAAACTTGTTGCAACTCGCTTGGGGGACTGGCGTTCGGCACAGTGCCTGGCGGGCAACAGGCACACGGTGGCTTTCCAGCTGCTGTGTGTGGGGAGAGCAGGCTGAGCAGATCCGCAGCTCTGGCTTGGCTGGCCTGGAACCTGCAGAAGCCTTGGGAGGACAGAAGCCCCGCGAGAGCTCACCCGTGTCCACACGAGGGTCGCGTGCTGTTTCTCTCCCTCAGGACTTCCTGAGCAGATACCCAGTCACCAAGTATTCCTGGGTTGGGGCCCGGCGAGGCTCCCAGGGCTGGCACTGGATCGACGGGGCTCCCCTGCCGCCCCCGCTGTGAGTGACCCTGGGTTTGGGCGGGCAGCCCCCTCAGTCCCCAGGGCACGAGCTCCCGCATCACCGGTGACATCACAAGAGACCCCAAAGAGGGGTGGAGGTGCACCCCTCCTCTGTCACCACCTCCCCACGGCTGTCTGGATCCTCCATCCCCAGATTCAGCCCCCGGGCCCATCTGTGACCCAGGGCCCTTCCTGGAAGGCGCAGGGGCCTGGTTTTCATTTAGTCCCAGTCCCCCTCCCTGACGGGGTGCTCCAGCGTTCACCCAAGCACGACTGCCGCCCTCCGTCCGGACTAAGGTGTGCGGCTCGGAGAGGCTGGCCCAGCACCACCCAGCCGGTGCACTGGCAGGGGCAGCCTCCTCACTCCCGCCCTGGGGCCCCTTCCAGGGAGGTGACTTGGGGGGCCCTGGGCTAGAGGCCGCCCGCACACAGGTAGGGAGGCGCCATCACTCTGAGCTTCCCCTTCCCCTTCCCCAGATTCTCGGAGGAAGACAAGGACCAGCCGGATCTCCACTGCGTGGGCCTGCAGGGGGGCAAACTTGTGGCTTTTGACTGTGCCTCTCTGAGACCCTGGGTCTGTGTTAAGGGCACCGAGTGATTTGGGTTCCATCCATCCTGAGCCTGTTGGGGGGCGCAGGCCCGACCGCCACCCTGGAGGCCAGGTGGTGAGCTGGGACAGCCTGACCCCTGGGAGCCTCCGGAGGCCTTGCTGAGTGAACCACGGGGCCTTCAAGGGGCCCCTAGAGCCCAGGCCAGATAAAGCCGTGACCAGCAGTGACAGATCCACTTTGGAGAGCAGCCGGGCTGGAGCCCACAGGCCCTCCCTGCTCGCTGCAGATGAGCTGGGGGCTCCGGTGCGTGCGGCAAGGCTCGCTGCTTGGTGTCCCGCGGAGAAGGTGGTTGTGGGGTCCCACAGCAGCTACCACCCGGGGCAGCCACGTGTGCTCCAGGTTTCGTGCCTGAGCAGTGGACGTGCACCAGCGCGCGACACCCCACCACAGCGAGTTGTGGGCTGGTGTGGACTCTGGGTTACAAGTCACCAGATGGCAGTAAACCAAGCAGAAAGGGGACTGGCCGGTTAGAAGGCTCCTGAAGGATCTCAGCAAGGCCGACAGAGGAGGGCCCTGCTTCGCAAACACGCTGCCTCCTCCTCGGATGTGGCCTGGGTCGGCTCCTCAAGAACTGATGCGACCAGCACTCGGCGTGTGTGTCCTCATTCAAGAGCCGCGGGCCGGGCCGGAAACGCCTCTTACAGGAAGGCCTCGACGGCCTCAGGAGGCGCGGTGCCCGCTCTGGACCTCGCCGCTGGCCGGGTGGCTTCCCACTGTTACCAACACGGGGACTTCCACTCTGCACTAAAATCCGGCCTCAGCGTGCAGAGGGCGAGCTCCCTGACGAGGACGGGGTGAAGGGGCGACAGCAGGGGTCTGGGAGACACGCATTCTTATCCCCACGTCACAAGTGAGGCTCAAAGGAAATCAGCCATTCGCACCACAGAGTTGTGGTTAAGCGCCCAGGCCCTGCAGGAGCTTTGAATGGACGTTTCAGCTGAGACACACAAAGGAAAGGCGCACACAACAAAGCAGCAGCTCACACCGGCGTCTACTCAGACATCGAAAGGAGAGAATTCCTGCCACACAACGTGGATGGCTCTCCCGAACTGACCGTTCCGTTTACATCAGCTTCTGGAAAAGACAAATGACGGACAGCACCCGTATTGCTGGGCCGGGGGCTGGGGAGTGAGTGATGAAATGGTTGGCAGGGGGGTCTGTTCTGTGTCACGATGGTGGGGGTCCCACGAGAAACATCTGTCAAAATGCGTGGATTCAAAGTCGCTGAATTATACCAACTATACTTCAATAAAGCCGATGTTTTAACAATAACAGGTAGTCGCTCTAATGTTTTAGGCACCTCTACTGCTTCCAATAAACTCAGTAAGGAGTGGCAGGCGCTAGAATCCAGCTGGATCCGAGTCCTCTGGGTCCTGTGGTGAGTGCTGGGCCCCTTTGGTCTTTAAAGGTCATGGGCCGCATCTGTAAAGGGGGGGGCACCTCGTGGGTGGGAGTCGGTGAAGATACGCCCCGGCCTGTTTAGACCCCTTGCTAAATGTCAGCTATTCCCAGAGGTCAAGGTCACACTCCTAAGGGGCAAATCCTGAGCTGAATTCCCGGCTGGCGCTGACCCTGTTCCCAAGCGCTCCTCTGGGACAAACGGAAGCGTTAGCTTCCACTTTCAGCTGCAAGGAGACTGGCAAACTGGTCTTATCATTTGAAAAAGAAGAGGTGCAAGTCTGTTTTGAACGGCAAAAGCTGGGCAGGGAAGAGGCTCAAAAGCCCACACAGGACCGGCCCCGTGCCGAGGTGCGGGGCGCCTGGCAATTCCGCTCCCGCTCCCAGCCCCGAACTAGCACTCAGCCCTGGCTGTGCGTGCAGAGAGACTGAGGGAGGAGGAACTGCTCCCAGTTGGTTCTGTTTCTGATCAAACCGTGGCCACATCTGAGCTCTGACGAGGGCGAACCCAAAACTTTCAGATCCGAGTCCTAAAGAGTAGGGCACTGTTCAAGCCAGAAATATCTCAGAAATACTTTGGTGGTGTGTGTGGCTTTCTTACTCCACTTTCAAATGAACCCCGGCACTTGATACCCATGCCCACTTTTAATCCACTTCAAAGCCCTTCTCTGTAAACGCCCTGTGTCTGGCGGCCAGGCCAGTTTAACACCAGCACCCTTTTGGTTCCTTTCAGTTTCAAGGCCACATATCCCAGGCTGGGGGTGCTCCTGCAGGGGTGCCGCTTAGAATCACCTGTGGAGGCTGAACAATGCCAGTGGCCAGCACCTGCCCAGATGCCCAGGATCAGAGTCTCAGGTGAGTCTGAGGGCCTGGGAAGTGTACTGAGCTGTTAACCCTCACGTGGTGAGGATGGGGAATGAGAGAATGAATTTCTGATCTGCCTCACTAGCAAACTACCTGTTAATGTCCAAAGTTGGTGACCCAAGAAGTAGCAGTCTAAGAGTATTATTTAGAAATCATAAGACACAAACTAGAAGAAACAGCAAAAATAATTTAAAGTAGTTGCCTAAAACTAGTGGGTCAGAGACTGGTGGTTGTCTCACGGTAGGGAACATTCCAGAGTGCTGGAAATGGTCTAGATCTTGCTATGGGTGGGGTTGGATATATATACATAATTCATTGAGCTGCACTTTTTTTAAAGAGACATATATATATTTTTTAAGATTTATGTATACAAGAGCTGGAGTACAGACCAGAGAAGCGGGGGGCGGGGGGGGATTGACCGGAGACAGAGTGGGGACCAGAACAGGTGGATCACCGAAACACTGCTGAGGGGAGCAGTGGGCGAGGCAGGAGAGGTCTACCCCGCCATGTGGGCTGCTCCATGGCAGGCTGGGAATCAAATTGGTGCTGCAGAGGCTGCAAATTGCCTCATAGCGCAGGGTTTAACCTCCTGCACCACCAGGGAGGCCCTACTACCTTAAAACCATATTCCTATTTTTAAAAAGTATCAAGGTACTACTTTGACAAAAAGAAATTAGGCTTTTTGAAAGGTCCACAAGGTCCTGATGAACTGCCCGACCTGAGAACACTTCAGAAATTGCTCCTTTTCTCTCAGCCTGTAATTATTTCCTTCACTGAGGTGTATTCCCACCAGTTTCAGCCTTGCCTCCAGAGCCAGTCTCTCCCTTCCTACAAAGCAGAAGCTGGAAAAGTCACACAACAGGTTGGCCTGCATGGAATTCCTCTGAGTAATTTTTCAGGAGCCTCCTCTCCCAGCAGGCACTGCCAGCTGCTGCTGTTGGCGATTCAGGTCTAAGAAAGTTGCCACTGGCCCTGGCTTGTCTCGTGGAGCTTTGGAGACCAGTCATTGACACAGCAGGACCCCGGGCACCTCCAGACACTGCCACCTGAGTGAAGCACCCACCCGCCCCCTGCCAACATGGCCCCCCAGTCAGGTTACTTTCCTTGTGATTCTGATGCAGATGGTGCAAACACCAAATTTTGAGAAGCCCTGATTAAAAAGTCCATGTTGCCCTCAGGGGAAAAAAAAGTGATCTTTTAAATCAACTTAACTGAGGCCTAGTTTGTACTCGTCTCAAGAATACCTTTCACTGTAACCATTGCGAGCAAGATAAGGAATAGTTCCAACACTCCAGAAAGTTCCCTCGTCCTTTTGCAGTCACCCCCCTCCTCCTCTACCTCCGGTCCCCGGCAGATCTGTGTCATCTCTATCGGCTAAGTTGAGCTTTTTAGGATTTCAAATAAGCAGCGTGTAGTAGGGACTCATGTTGGCTTTTTTTTTTTTTTTTTTCAGCTCAGCATTACATTTTATTTTTTAAAAGATTTATTTATGAGGGCCTCCCCTGGTGGCGCAGCGGTTGAGCGCTGGGCTGTGAAGCTGCCCGCAGCCTCTGCAGTGCCGGTTTGATCCCCGGCTGCTCCCCAGGCCACCGGAGCCGGAGGGAGGGTCCCACATGGCGCGCAGACCTCTCCTGCCGCCCGCTGCTCCCCTCAGCAGTGTACTTTGGCCCTTTTGCCTGCTCTGCTCCCCGCTCTGGCTCTGGTGAATTCTCTCACCCACCAGCGCTTCTGACTATACCCAGTGCTTGTATAAATAAATAAATAAATAAAATTAAATTAAATTAAAAAAGATTTATTTATGCATACAAGAGCTGGGGTACAGGCCAGAGATGTGGGGGGTGAGGGGATACAGCAGACTGACTGAAATACACTGCTGAGGGGAGCAGCGGGTGAGTCAGGAGAGGTCTGCTGTGCCATGGGGGGTAGCTCCCTGGCTGGCCGGGGATCGAACTCATGCTGCAGAGGCTGGGGACTGCTTCATAGTGCGGTGCTTAACCCTTGGCGCCACCAGGGAGGCCCTCAGCATTACATTTTAAAGGCTTCTCCACATTGCTGCCCCCGTCAGTGGTTTCCTCTGAGGGACATACCGCGACATTTCTTTTCTCTAATTGGTGACACTATGTTGTCTCCAGTTTGGGGCTACTATGAAAACAGCCGCCATGAACATTTTTGCTATTCTCTTGCCACGAACATTTGAGAACAGGTCTTCGTGTGGACATTGGTTTTCATTTCTCTTCAGTACCTGGGAGAATTACTACTGGGTTTAATGCTAAGATGTTCAATTCATGAGTGACCACCACACTGGTCTCCACAGTAGCTGGACATTTTACACCAGCAAGAGTTCTAGTGGCCCCCATCTCTATCAGCTCTTGGTGTTGCCCTTTTTTGGCCATTTGCACATCTACGTATCCCTGGGGCATCCTCTTACCCCTCCACATGTGCACTTGCTCAGCTGGTCACCTCCCCCATCTATGCCCAGCCCTTCTCGCGGGTGAGCTGCTCGTTTGCATTCTCCTGATACCCGGTGTTCCTTGTCCCATGCTCACTGGCCACTTGCGCGTTCTTTAGCGATCCTGTAACGTGTCCATGGTACAGTGGAATTTGGAGAAACCCTGCCTAGAAGGCACGTGTGCTCCCCAGTGATGATTTAAATGAAAACCTAGCTTTGTGAAACCCAATGTTTGTGAAATATTTCAAAGTACCGAGACATTGAGACGTGTGCACACCCGTACAGAGAATACTTAGGTCTACAACGGTTGCCCTTTTCACATTACTCTTTATTTCTACACATAGGTGGGGATATAGAATTGAAGCATTTGAAAATAAATTCAGACATGAAGACACTTCACCCCTACTCAGCATGCAATTCCTAAAAATAAGGAGGTTCCACGTTACAATTCTATCGTTATACTTAGTAAAATCAGTATTTAACTCATGTCCCAATTTCCCCAGTTTCACTAAGGTCTTTTACCAGAGATCCAATCAAAGTGTAGGCACTGTCGCTGGTTTTGTTGTGACTTGTAGTGCCCTATGACCCGGAACTTTTTTCTCATTGACTCTTGAGGCAGGGCTGCTGATCTTCCCCAGTGACACTCTGGAAGTCATATCCTGCCAATTGGGCTTGGATTCAATATATACATTTTAAACAGGAATACCGGATGCTGGGTACTTCCTATTTAATCATTGCCTGGTTTCATTATTGACGCCAAGTATTGTGTACCCAACTCAAACAACTTAGGAGACATACAAACTTGGTAAATAGGGCTAATCTTCTGGCTCAGCTTTAGAGCCAGTGCAGTCTATGAAGAGGTCTTAGAAACAGTGCTTACGCCAGCCACCACGCCACCATTGAATCCTCTGGGCCTTTTGTTCCCTCGGGGGCCATTTCCGCTGCTCTCTTACTGCCTCTCAGAACCAGGGCATACCCGTCACAGTATTACACCAAGAAGAGCCTCAGTCTAAGGTCAAAAAGATGTCAGCTGACCGTCCTAGCTTTTGTTTAGTCAGGGAGGTTACTTTACCAACTTCTGTTGGCTCCCAAATGGAAACACGACCCATATTGGGTCAGAGGAAAAGGCTGCCCGAGGCTTCTGGGGAAAGGTGAGTTGCTCTTCAGAGACAAAGATGGAGTCATTACGTAGATATAAGGTACTAACCTAAGGATGGAGGAGTCACCTGAGCCAACAGACTCCCCCCCGTTACCTAAGTTCATGTGACTGCATCTCCTGTTCCAGGCGAGCAGCATGCCCAGGGAGCAGCGTTGTGCATCTGGGACGAGGATCAGTGACCTCTGGTGGCAGGCTGGCGGCAGCACCAGCCTTTGGCTCCATCTGCCCGGCCTCTTTTCGCTGGAGCCCAGATCTGTAAGTGAATGCCTTGCTTTCAACCTACACCCTACTATGCTGACCGTTAGTTGATGCCCCGGTGTGCACGCAGCCCCCGCAGCTCTAGTATCCTGGGTTCGCCTGGAACCTAGAGATGATGCAGGCACGTTACAGTTTGGGAGCAGTTGCTGGCCCAGGAGCCCGCAAAGCCCCACTCACCTGTGGCTCCAGCTCTGTTCTGCTGTTAAGATTCCTGATTGGGGCCCAGTTGGCCTCTTCATTAAAACCCACACAGCCCTCTGCAGCCTTTCCTAAGTCTCCTAAAGTAGGGATTGTATTTTCAAATTAACAGCTTAGTTTCCGAAGATAGAAAAAAAACAGAGGATGTCTTTCAAAATATTTAAGTCAGTAAAGCATATTGTGGACGAAGATTCTGCAAGGCACTCCGCTGTGCCAGACCTCGAGCTAGAGAGGAAGGGCTGAGGTGGGGGAGGCCCCAGCAGCACAGGGATACAGCTAATGATCGCAGGAAGGTCAGGTTTTAATGGTTTGATGATTCCTAGAGCACCATACCAAAACATACCCGGTGAACCTCCACTTCAGATATGTACACATTTTAGAACTATGTGGTATTTACTTGGATTTTTAATGGTGAAAAATTTATGTAAACATATCTGATTTTAACCGTCACCAACATTTATTTATAAAAACTTATATAACGAAGACAGGCTGTTCCCTAAAACTATTATTTTGAAATATACTGAATAACAAATTACCACCGAGAATAACAAAAGTGTTTGTTTAAATCGTAACGCATGCTTGATTTTAGCTCAAAGGGCTAACGCTGAAAGCTATTATTAAATAGCTTATAAAAATAGACTCTCTAGGGTTACTTCAATTCATCAGAGTGACTATCCTGGTTCAAGGATGACTATTAAAAAATAATGTAGACCATTTACCCCAAAGTCTAAATACTAGCAGTATCTAAGCAACAGAACTGTCAAAGTATTTTTAAAATAAAGACAATTCATTACAAGAACCATCTAGTTCTAGTGTTCACCATGGTGCCCAGCCCTGCACGGTACTGTCCTTCACAGGTTAGCACAGCCGACAAACTGTAACTGCAGTTAAGAGCTTATACAAACATTTATACATTTTGACAGGACACATATTAATTCAAATTATACAAGCAATGCTTAACATTTCTCAATGTTTTGGAATTTGGTATCTCTAGATACATCAATAACCCTAACAGGCCAGGTCCCAGGCAGCTGTCCCTGAATCCACCAGTTTCTTTTTCTTACCCACACGCCAAGGTACTTTGGGATAAGCACTTATCCAAAGTGCTTATCAAGAGTTGAGAACAGCAGGGAAAACTAGGAGCAAAAGGGATATAAAACGATTTCTCAGGAACCAGAAACAAAAGAATGGGCCACTGACGTAAGTGGCTCTCTCAAATTCAACTGTATGCATTGAATGTATGGAGTCAAGGATGGCAAAAAACATCCAGTCAGTGAGGCCCAGCTGGGTGACCTGGGGACCTGAGGAGTGTCCCTTTTAGATGTAAATCTGATGCCACGTAGAATGATGCTGGATTCCCCTTATGAGACCCATATTCCTGTCATGCTGAATGTGTCAGAGGACCCAAGACATAGTTCTTGAAAGGTGGTCTTAATTATATACTCAGACAACTTCATTACTTCATGTATTTTTCAGATTTTCTAGAATCACAAGTGATACCTGCTAACTACTGTTTCAATACTGCTAAGTATACAGCTAGCTCTTCAATGCAGAAATAGTCTCATATTGGTTACACTGTGTTTTTATTTCAGTTTACTGAATAGGAAGAAAAAACAAGCAAAAAAAAAAAAAAAAAACACCCTAAAAACCACCAATAAATGAACAATCCACTTCCTTTTGCAGGTCCGGTCTTTCTCTGGAACGGGTAGTTACAGGCAGCCCTGAAGTCAATGGAATATAGTCAGCAAGGGGCCTGGGTGAGCAACAGTTCATCTTGAATCTGCATTTATTTCCTTTGGTGCCTTGCACAGTAAGGCACTATTAATGATACAACAGAAGAAATGCCCACAGCAAATAGTTCTAGTGACAATTTACTGGACAAGTTTACAGCTTAATGATGGGGGTGGTGATTGTGTCTTTCATTTTATTATTTTTTTACAATAAGGTGTAGCCTTTATACTCCACACACACAAAATAAAACAAGTGCTTATGAAAAAGTCCCTTCCCCCACCCCCCTTTTCAAAACATCTGAACATAGCAATTCAATAGAACAGAAAAATCAAGACATGTTTGATTTCAAAATTTCAATAAAAAAGCAAAGTATGTAATGCAACAGCTGTTCAACTTCCAACTCTAAATAGGCACCGTTAAACAAACAAAAAATTCCCAGTATTTTAAATTTCTCCAGCACACATTCCAGTATAAATGCTCTGAACTGTAATCAGCTAGTAATTAACAATGGGAATAGAACCTTAGAACGAAAGTTATATTGCGTCCCTGCCCCCCCATCTCTTACAATTAGAGCAAGGAGGAATAGGGCATACAAAAGTCAGAGGAAGAAGAGTTAAAAAGAAAAATTCTCCAGGTGGCTGCTGTTTGGACTAAGAAAGGAAGACAGCATTTTACAAATGTTCCAAAAAATCCCAAGGCAAGTAACACAATTTGTTCACTACCACTCCAACTAAAAATAATAAAGACACTGCTGTCTTATTATATAAAACTGTACTTTTAAAGTTGAATTACAAGTTCACCAGAAACTATGGATGTAGTTTTAGGTTTCATCAAGGAAAGAGTTCAGTTCAGATCAAATTAGATACTGTACATCTAGCCTAGCTGGACTGGTGTCTGGAACTGCTCACTGTGTCACCCCAAACAGCTGTAAACTAAACAATAGTATGTAACTCCATAGGAAGCTTAAGGATTGAGGATATGTACACAACTAATTATATCTCCCCTGCTTCGCGCTCTTCAGAGCTCCGCCTGTCTTCTGATCTGCCATTAGCGCTCTCATAGGACCGCTTCTTATCTTTTCGATCTCTGTCACGAGGTGATCTGTCTCTTGAACTCCTGTCTCTGTCACGTGATGCTAAGTCTTGGTCTCTGAATCTTTCTTTTGAGGATCTGAAAAATATTAATTTGAGGAGCAAAATGTGTTGGGAAACCCAAAAACCCAAATGAAAGAATTGGATAAATATTAAGATATTGATAGCTGCAGATATACAGAATACATCCAAGAAAGTCAGTTTTCTGACAAAAAAAAAAAGTACGACCATATTTAATAAGGGCATTAAACCAAGGAGGTGTGTAAAAACAAATAGCTAAGGTCAAAAAATCATGAGCTAAAATAATTTATAGGATACTGTCATCTCAGAGGTGATCAGAACGCTTTCCCAATTCAAAGTGAATGTATTTAATTGTAAAAAAATAACAGACAATGCCTTAAAAAAGTCAAAGGTATTATCAAATTAAAAAATATATATAAAATGCAAATTCCAAATTGGATGGAAATCAATAGCCAGACAGTAAATATCTTGGGTGCAGCAGGTCAAGATACAATCTCTTGGGTCTGTTCTTTTTATCAACCCATCAACAATGCAAAAACCATCCACAGCTCCCTGGCTATACTAAAAAGGCCTGTAGATCTGGCCTGCAGACAATAGTTTGTCAAATTTAGTGGAGTTAAGCAAACTATGCTAAATGATATGGCTTTAAATAACTACTTAACTATTTCAGAAATCTGCTCTACTCCTGAGCTCATTTAAACCAAAAAAAAAAAAAAAAAAAAAAAATCAGAATGAAAGAAACAGATGATCATACTATAATAAATCTTGATTAACCTTAACTGTTCCTTAATACCACCTCCCCATTCCCATACCCAGTAAGAAAGGTAACAACAAATAAGCTCAAACCAGAAATTCAACTGAAAACCAAAGAACATTATGGGATCAGAATATGGAATCTTCTGCACTTAAAACATCTAGAATGAAGCAGTAGTATATTACATTTATTTGATTCTTTACAGGTAACACAGCACTTTTACACAATTAACTCACTTAACCTGCGTTCAGAAGTAGACTCTGAGGCAACTTCCAAGAACCTGAATAAGTAATGCTTTCAACCTCTAAACAGAAATAAATACTACTGTATTCAGTTTTAGGAATATATTTAAAAGAGGGTTAAACAAAAAGTTGAAAAATCGAAACATTTTACTTAATAAAGGTTTTAACAAGCTTCATTTTTAAAAGGTGTAAAAAAAAAAAAATTACACAGTGCATACCTGATTACACTAGTTCTTATCCATAGTCATAAGAATGGAGTAAGAGAAAAGAGAAATAATGCCGAAGAATAAAAACACAAATTGCTGGTAAGGCCCAATGGTCAGCAATACTAACTGGAAAACAACTATGAGATGAGTATTAACTAATGTTTTGTGAGAGATTATAATGCCCTGTACACAATGCTCCATTTACTACTTTACTCAAATTATCAGTAATCCTGATGAAGTAGGTGCTCTCACTATCTCTACTTAGTAGATGGGCAAAGTAAGTGAAATAATTAAAATATTTGGAGAAGGCCACTGAACCCAAATAGTTTAAATCTGAAAAAATGTTTTGGAACAGGTAGGAAATAGAAAACTGCAAAAGGTCCTCATTGACCAAAGGGAAGGATTACAAAAAGAATATACTTATACCAGAAACCAGTATTTCAGTTGAGGCAGAAGAACAGCAAATCATAAAAGACTTTTTAAAATAGGGTTTTCACCTTAAAAATTAAACTTTAAGTTGTGTATAATGACATGTAGGATTAATTGCAACTGTCTGCTAATTTTTAGTAAAAACAAAGAATGCTGCTTTGGAAGAAAGTATAAAATGCAATTTTCTGGAAAAAAAATTCCTATACAGCTTAATAAATGCAGGACATGTCAGGGACTAGGTTACCACAATCTCAGATGAGACTTTATGTCCAACCCTTCAATCCTTATCACCAATACAGACTTATCTGAGTTCACAGACACCAGAAAGCACAACAGGTGAGCAGGTCAACAAGAGATACTATCTACATCTTTGATCAGCCAGCATGATGATTCTCAAAATTCAGAGTGCAGGTTATACTTCATGGAGAATTTACTAAAATGCATTTTTCTGGGCACTGCACTATGTGCCCACAGAGTAAAGACTGTATTGAGATAAGCATCCTACAAACCACATTGTGAAGAACTCTGACCCCTATGAATTTCCTGCTCCAGTCTCTGTATTTTCCTGATATTCACTACCTGGAACATCTTTTTCCTACCGAGTTTCACCTACTTAAATATATACCGACTTTATTCAAATTTTATCTGCTACCTGGAACCATCTTTTATTCTATTTCCCTCATCTAAATGCCTAAATTATTTACTATATGCAACTTCCTGCACTTTTTAAAATGTGGTGTTACATGGATCTGTTTATTATCAAAGATGTTAGCCCTGTGTTCTGATTCACATAAAGTTGTTCAATATTTTGTTATTTTTTTACTAAGCCTAGTACTGTAGACAGTATACAATTCTAATTAAAATCATCTTAGTAATAATACTTGGTTTGCTAAGAGTGGAATTTAAATGCTTGCATCAAAAATAAATGAGGTGATAGATGTTTTAATTAGATGGCGGGTATCCTTTTACAATATACATGTAAATCTAATCACCAGCATTCACACTTACTTATCTTAAGAGTTTTGTCAACTATACCACAACAAAACAAGGGAGGGGAAACCCTTAAAAAAACAAAAAACAATTTTGAACAAGGCAAGGACAGAAGAAATAAATAAAATATTCATCAAGAGTCTACTGACCAACTCAGCTTGTGAGTAGTTTCAGGGAATGGCTAGGTTGAGGATCTAAAAATATATAAAGATTTTAAACAGCTCTCTATGGATTCTATCTGGGCTTATGTGGAGTAACCCATAGAAAATTTAAGACTAGTAGGTCAGGCACTCAAAAAAATGCTGATCATCTGTATGCTTAAGGATATTTATGAAGAAAAAAGAAATTTTAAGTACGGTTTATGTTCCATAAAAATTACCTGGCTAAAGAGTCATCATGTGACCTGAGAAATTTTGGAAGTTGGTAGGCCTATATATCTCTATATACATATATAGTGACTGCTAAGCTCCACCACATTCTAATTCTTTGTCCTCAATAGATTAAGTCCTTAAACATACCAATTCTGGGTCTGCCCTCCTTGCACCTTTTGAGTTTTCATGCCAGGGAAGTATAATTTCCTTTAAGATTCTGAATCTGCCCTGCAAAGCTATCTGTATATAACAATGCATTCCTATACAATTTAGATTAATAAAAAATATACTAGAATGTGTCTGCTTCAAAAAAGTATACCAGCTCAAAGAAGTTTGGAAAACAGCAAGTCAAAGTTAAACAATTCTTTTAATGAGAGTACTTCTCAGAGCCCCTTATTTGCCAATACACACTGGGGGCGAGGTGGGGACGGGATGGACAACCCTGAATAACGGTACCTAAAATTATTTGCCCATAAAATACTTTTTTCCAAGACACACTAGTGAGAAAAGCAAAAACCCCTACACAATTGGTTCCAATTTCTTACTCTGGCTCATATTCTTTCTAAACTACCCACATAGAGAAAAACGGTATATACCCACACACAAAAATGTGTACAAATTACCAGATGCAAGTTTCAAACCAATAGTATTCCAACTCTAAACCGTAAGGGTAGTTCCGTGTCCTCTTATGGACACCTCAGTACCTCCTCCTGGATCGTTCTCTGCTCCTGTCTCTAGAACTGTGCCCACTTCTCTGGTGGCTACGGCTGCGGCTGCGGCTGCTGGAACGGGATCTGTGGCGATGGCGTTTCTCCCGAGATTTGGATCGAGTTCTCCTCTTACGTTCCCGTGACATGGAGCGAGACCGATGTCGGCGATGCTCTCTGGACCTGGATCTACAAAAAACACATTTGATTTTGCATTTAGCTTTGGAAGCACATCTCTCTTTTACTTGCCTTTTCTTTAAAGAGAAACTATCCGACCTCCCTGGTGGCACAGGTTTTCACAGCACTATCAAGCTATCAGCAGCCACTGCAATACGACTTCAATCCCAGGCTGGCCAGGGAGCTGACTCACATGGCGCAGCAGACCTCTCCTATCCTGCCTGCTGCTCCCCTCAGCAGTGTATTTCAGTAGATCTGTCTGATCCGCTCCCTACTCTCTCTGGTGAATCCTCTCACCCCTGCACCTAACCTTAAATGCATAAATAAAACTCTCCTGACTCGCCCACTGTACCCGTCAGCAGTGTATTTCAATCAATCCGCCTGTTTTGCCCCCCACTCTGTCTCTGATGAGTCCTCTCTCTCACACACACACACACCCCCCTCTGGCCAGTACCCCAGTTCTTGTATGCATAAATAAATCTTAAATTTTTTAAAAATTAAAAAAGAAATTACATTTCTGGCATAATATCTAAAGATGTTCAATGTACCAGTAGTTTATCTTTTCAACAACACATGCATCTATCAAGAGCAGTGAACAAGAACAGTATCATCATGTAACATTTCTACTTCTCATCCTACTTTTGAGAAACTCAAAACAAATTAGCTGATACAATTACTATTAATGTCTTAATCTTTTAGAGGTTTACACAAAACCTTTGCAAAAACACCACTGCAAAGATTCTAAAAAGTGATAGGAGTATCAAACAGAAACTTAAAAGGGTTTTCTTTTAAAACAAGTGCTCTAGTTTATAGGGATCAGTTCTTGGAAAACATTACTCAGAAGATTTCAAAATAGGATGTGCTCTCAACAATTAGGCTGATTTGAAAAAGAGTAAGGAAAGGCAGTCTAGCTGGAAATGGATTCAAAGACAGACCTAGGATAGGAATGAGGATGGCAAGTGAATTTATAATAATAAAGGACATGCTTTCCTACTTTTTTCAGAAAAAAATTACAAGTAACTAAGGAAAAGCTGTAATGTCTTTAAAAAGCCTGCATATGCTAATGCCAAAGTCAGGAGTTTTCTCTCTTCCTCTTTAAGGCTGTAAATGTCCCCGTTTAAAGATTTTTGGGACCACTGTACAAAGGGTTAACTAATAGAGTCAAGATTAATGTGCAAAATAACCATTTTAGCTTCCCACAGTAACCCACTATAGATCTCTCAAAACTATATCCAACTATTTACCCTAAGAGTGAACTTCTTAATAAACGTATCACTTAGATTTCTAAAGATTTTGTAAAAATATTCTAAAATATTTTTAGTTTTCCTTATAATTCCAGGGCACTGTTAATCTAACTCCGGCAAAACTTAACTGTAGTTCATTAGTAACACCTGACCAAAACCAGACACCAGTTCTAACTTCAACTGCAAAAGAAGACTAACAATCTATTAATTATCACTCATTTTGAAACGCTATTTAATCTATAAACTACCTTTGAAGACCACAGCTTCACTTACTTATACCTATTTTATATAATACTTACCTTTTAGGATTCTTGCTATGTGATCGAGACCTAAAAAAAGAATATCTACTTTTAGAAAAGTGAGAAAAAGTGCAATGTGGTAAAATTACATTTTTCTTGATTTCTGAATTTATATTAACTTTATAAATAAGGCATATATTTATGCACACAAATTTTTCCAAAATGCCCCACTACTCTATGGGCTTTCTCCCCTTAGCCTATAAGCTTCCTTCTTAAAACACAACACAAAAAAACACCACTTAGTAGACTAAGTTACTCCATGTACAAAACGCTCCAATTTTCCATAAATCACTTCCCAGACTGGAAAAAGTTCTTTTTTTCATATCTATCATTTCTTCTTTCTCTCTGGCAACAGAGTAAAGTCTCTCTGATTGGAGATACACATTTTGGAACTATAACCTCACCAGATAATCCCTAGGAAACCCATCTCAATCTATCTTACATCTATTTTTTTGAACATGAAATACAACAATTTAATGTAATTCTCACATCTCCAAGCACACAATTAATGCTCAGTAAATAATAATGTCATTACTAGGAAGTCACATGGATTTTCCTGTGGAAAACATAGCATCCCAGAAGTATGGTTTTGAATTCAGCTTGATACAAGTTTGTTTTTATTAAACTTTTATATCGTTCATTTTTATACAGTATTGCAGCCTGATATCGGTTTTAACACTGGTTCTACCATCCACCATCTATACCACCTCTACAGGTCATTTACCATCCTTTCCCTCAGCTTACTGCGTCATTTGCAAAAGCAGAATAGTAATAAAAATTCCACAGGGGGATGGGATGGTTCTAGTCACTAGACAAACTAATTAAGGTAGATTCTTAGCACAGTGCCTAGCACATAATAATCACTCAATAGCTGATAATTTTTATCATTATCCTTTTTATTTAATACTTTACTTGGAATCCAATTTTATGTAATTCTTTAATGTCATGTACTTTCCTTATCTACCATACTTAGTTACCCAAGTTCACAGATAAATTAAAAAGTATTTAAAAACATTTCTGAAAGTGTTACACAGTATATAATCAATATCAAAGAAATTTGCTGGCTGGCAACAAAGACATGAAAATCTTTTTTTTTTTTTAAAGTTTTATTTATATTTTTCGTTTATTTATTTATTTAGACAAGCACTGGGTACAGTCAGAAGCGGGGGAGGGTGAGAGAATTCAGCAGAGCCAGAGCGGGGAGCAGAGCAGGCGGAAGGACCGAAGTACACTGCTGAGGGGAGCAGCGGGCGGCAGGAGAGGTCTGCGCACCATGTGGGACCCTCGTCCGGCAGCCAGGGATAGAACCGGTGCTGCAGAGGTTGCGGGCAGCCTCACAACCCGGCGCTCAACCGCTGTGCCACTGGGGAGGCCCACATGTGAAAATCTTTTAAGAGCCACCTTAATCACTGATACTGGTAATACTAGAATCAGTTGAATTTTAAAAGACCAATACTTCCAATGCCATTTACATAGTCTCAAATATAATACTTTCACAGGGCAGTATTTTCATACCAACTTAGATACACAAGAGCACAGATAAAGCTCAAAGTAAAATTTATGGTAAACAAAGAATGCTATCAATGGAGGAATAACAGCACTTCTAAAAATAGTCAAATGTAGTCAAATGGTGGCACAAGGGGTTAAAGCACCACACTATGAAGCAATCTGCAGCCTCTGCAGCACCAGTTCGATTCCCAGCCAGCCAGGGAGCAACCCACATGGTGCAGCAGACCTCTCCCATCTCACCCGCTGCTCCCCTCGGCAGTGTATTTCAGTCAGTCTGCCTGTTCTGTTCCCCACTCTGTATCTGGTAGGTCCTTTCACCACCCCCCACATCTTTGTCCTGTACCCCAGCTCTTGTATGCATAAATAAATCTTTAAAAAAATAAAAATAGTCAAATGTAGCTTTCATTTTGTCACTACAGTGCAAAACGATTACCTATTACAAGCCCAGTAACACAAATGATGTCAGTTTAAACTGCGTGAAGTAGACCAAGTACAATGTGCTCAAAGTCTGGAGGAAGTTGGAAGGCCTAGTCACATATTGTACAACTATAATTAACTTAAGTACATCTGCTGGAAAAAAGGCATTTAAATTTCAGAGATATAAAATATAATAAAAGGAACTTGATAAGATAGGACCATAGGTAAATCTTTTGTGGCATACCTGTCCCTCCTAAAATTGTCAGAAGAAAATTATGGGGCCTCCCTGGTGGCGCAAGGGGTTAGTCTCAGTGCTATCAAGCTATCACCAGCCACTGCAGCATGAGTTCAATCCCCAGGCAGGGAGCTACCCACATGGCGCAGCAGACATCTCCTGTCTCGCCTGCTGCTCCCCTCAGCAGTGTATTTCAATAGATTAGCCTGTTCTGTTCCCACTCTGTCTCTGGTGTATCCTCTCACTGCCCCCCGCAACTCTGGCCTACACCCTAGATCTTGTATGCAAAATAAATAAATACATCTTTAAAAAACAAAAAGAAAAGTATGAACATGAGTTACAAAGACTGTTGCTACCACACGGATGGAGCTAGAAGGGATTATGTTCAGTGAAATAAGTTAGCAGGAAAAAGAAAAATATCAGATGGTCTCACTCATAGGAGGAATGTAGGAGAACCAAATAAAGGGTTGGGCCATGGGGGGAGGGACAATACTAGCAGCCAAACTATAAATTGGAAACATTCAGCAGGGGAAGGAAAGGCAAAGGGATCAAAATAGGGGGGAGGAGCACAAAAGACTATGGTGCCAGTTCACAGGTGTCTTGGTAGGGGTAATTTTATGAGGATTATACCTGAGAGGAGAAATCAAACTTGAACAAAAATGAACAGATGTTTAAAGAAAAAAAAAAAGACTCGCTACTCAAAATGTTAGAAAATTTGTTGCCAATGGGTAAAACTGAATCAGAAGATTTAGACATTCTATATAAAGAGTTACATGTTAAGTCAATAAAACTTTTAATAGTTTCAAGTTCTTAGAATTCAGGGAATATAAAAGTACAATGTAAAAATATTAATGAAACAAAATTCCCAGACCTTTTATCAGTAAGTACAAAAATAAAAAATTGCTCTATGCCAACCTGGCATAAATCTAGCCCATTCTGAAAATCAGAGACTAGGAAGGATTTTGTGAAAAATCTTACAAAACACAAAGATATTATACACTCTTTACTCACCCTTCTAAACTCAGAAATCACCTTAACTTACATGGCTATAAGTTAACATACTTGTAATAAACACTGTCTCAAACTTAGTATATTTTTAAGTAAACTGAAATCTCCCAGGTCCAGATTTAGCAATATCTAAAATGCTCTATCAATCACATCTCTTTTTGGAACCAGGGACATTGAATTTTAACTAACATGACTTTTCAGTGAGTTACTGCATACCTCCTCAGCTTCTCTCTTTCTTCTCTTTCCCTTTCTTCTCTTCGCTTCAGGCGTTCCTGGTTTCTTTTCTCCTGCTTTTCAGCCACAACTCTCTTAAAAAATAATGACAGATAAAATAATAAATAAGAATTATTTATTGGGTCCATTCTTAATGCACAATTACCTTAAATTTTATTGTATCTTATTTCCAGCATAGTGCAACTAACAAAAAAATCTGTTTAATAATAATTGTATTTTGTTTTGCCAGGTGTAATCAATAGGCTTACATTCTAGTCTCCAAAATCTTTCCTCCTTAAATCGAAACATCTGTAAATTTGTGTTTCTCCACACTTTCATACTGTTACACTGAGTCCCTAATGTTGTCTGAACTAACATTACTAGGAAACCAGGTACTCGAATATCACTGTTTTGTTTGGAGTTAGCCAGGATTTTTCTCTCTCATCATTATGACAAAGAATTGTAATGGTGTTAAGAGGATTGGCAGCTACATTTCAAAATTAAACTGTAAGAATTTTCCCCTCTAAATGTTTTGTAGCATTAATTTTATTTTATTTTATTTTATTTTTATTTATTTGTTTGTTTGTTTGTTTTGTTTATACATGCACTGGGTACAGTCAGAAGCGCGGGAGGGTGAGAGAATTCACCAGAGCCAGAGCGGGGAGCAGAACAGGCAGAAGGACCGAAGTACACTGCTGAGGGGAGCAGCGGGCAGCAGGAGAGGTCTGCGTGCCATGTGGGACCCTCCTCCGGTGGCCAGGGAGCAGCCGGGGATAGAACCGGCGCTGCAGAGGCCGCGGGCAGCTTCGCAACCCAGCGCTCAACCGCTGCGCCACCGGGGAGGCCCGTAGCATTAATTTTAACTTAAAGAAAACCAACCAGGGGCCTCCCTGGTGGTACAAAGGGTTAAGACACAGCACTATGGGCCCCCCCTCCACCCCCATGGCGCAGGCAGTTGAGCTCTGCTTCAATCCCAGCCAGTGGGCGAGGGTCCCAATGGCGCGGCAGACCTCTCCTGTCACGCCCGCTGCTCCCCTCAGCAGTGTATTTCGTCAGTCTGCCTGTTCTGCTCCCTGCTCTGTCTCTGGTGAATCCTCTCACCCACCCGTGCATCTGGCCTGTACACCCCGGTTCTTGTATAAATGAATAAGTAAATCTTTAATTAAAAAAAGACACGGCACTATGAAGCAATCCATAGCCACTGTAGCTCGAGTTCGATCCAGGGCCAGGGAGCTATCCACAATGCGCAGCAGACCTCTCCTGACTCACCCACTGCTCCCCTCAACAGTGTACGTCTGTCAATTTGCCTGTTCTGTTCCCCAGTCTGTCTCTGGCGAATCCTCTCACCCCTCCACATCTCTGGCCTGTACCCCAGTTCTTGTATGTGTAAATAAACAAATCTTAAAAAAAAAAAGGGGGGGGGAGAGAAAAAGCGAAAGAGAGAAAGTCCCATGAACTTACTATTAGAAGAACTGGGAATTATTTCACATCAATATACTCATTTTGGCAATTTCCCTTTAAATATCATATTACTGCCTTTGGAAAGCAAATTTTGGGGGACTTTGTTTAAAACCCAATTTTCAATATTTCTAATTATGACTCATAATCAACTCAAAATGTTACCTCCCAGAATAAAGGAACAGTATTTGAAAGTTGTCTGTTTCCCACACATCACCCATTAAAGAAGCTGATATCTCCATTTATTATCCCATAGTATTCTCTATGAGCTGTTAATAGAATCAGTCAAAAATACATTCTTGAGTATTTTTTAATCTCAGTAAAGAACACTGTACAGAAAGACAATATAAAGCAAAAGAATAAGTGGCTAAAAAAAAAAAGGACATTAGTTTACCAATGTACCTTTAATTCTTCAAGCTTCTCTCTTATTTCAATAAATCCAAGGTGCAGTTTACCCCCAAAATGATCAGCCAATCGTCTATCATTATCATGAAGACCTAAATAGGCAGAGCAGACTTCACAAACTCGAAGCTTCTGCTGTTGAAAACTGGAAGCTGGCATTGAATTCCGATAAACTTCCTAGACAAAAATGAGAAAAATAAAGTCTATTTAAACTTCATTAAAAGTCATAGAATTGTTCAAATCTCGGTGGGACCTCCAAAAAAAAAAAAGTCATAGATTTATTAAAGCTATATTAAATTATCAGAAGTAAACATGAAAAGCCATACAATTAAATAAAAGACACCATATTTATGCCAAAAATGTTTCCTAATAAATACACAATAGCATGGTAATTTTATTTTACAAAAGCTAGAATTCCCATTATCCCTATCCTCTTCCTTGGGACTTCTCCACCAGGAATGAAAGATCAGACCCTCAAACAACTTTGCCAACAACTATTGTAACAATTCTCCTAGGATATCAAACAGAAGTTTCTGAAAAAGTTTTTTCCATGTTCTATAATGTTCTGTTTTCTATAATTCTTGTTACAAATGAATGAAGCAACCAGAACAGGATCAAGGAAGCAAGAACTGCCCATGATTGCAGAGAATGCATGTCTTCCATAATGTAAAGCTTCCTTCCAATGTCTGCCTGCTTTCTTTCCCAGTCCTTTATTACCACTTTGAAACATGGACCGGGCCTACAATTACAAGACTTCCCAATAAAAGGGGCATGTTCTATTTGGCAAAAAATGAAAGGTGGGCCTCCCCTGGTGGCGCATGCGGTTGAGCACCGCGCTGTGAAGCTGTCTGCAGCCTCTACGGCGCCGGTTCGATTCCGGCCGGCCGGTGAGGGTCCCACATGGCACAGCAGACCTCTCCTGTCTCGCCTGCTGCTCCCCTCAGCAGTGTATTTCGTCAGTCTGCCTGTTCTGCTCCCCACTCTGTCTCTCTCCTGCACATCTGGCCTGTACCCCAGTTCTTGTATAAATAAATAAATAAATCTTAAAAAAAAGGTGCCTTGCTGAAATAAAGATGTCTTTTGTTCAATAATTTTATTTATATTAAGTTCATAAATACGCAGTAAAAATTGGTGGGCTTGCCTACCTACTAAGTACCCTTCATTCCTTACTGACAGAATTCTGTTGCTTGTGGCAGCAGCATGCCCAGCTAAAAACATCACATTCCAAGCTTTCGTGTAGCTTTGGCTAAAGAGACGTTAGTAGAAATTATTAGACAGACCCACGGGAATGTTCTTAAAAGGTGATCAGTAGATTAAGATAAAAATCACCAATAGCTGCTGTAATGGGAGCTTTAAAAAGTGATGGAAAAAAGAATATTTAAACTCTCAAAGTCTCAATACCCATAAAAATGAAACAAAATAACTTCAGTGGAAAAGGAGACACCACTACCACCGCCAGAAATGTGACAAACACTAACAGGTACCTTCTGACAGGATCCAACTTGAACTCAGTGGTACTCCTCAAAAAATCTAATCAGCAAAACAATTTTGACAAACCAAAACCGAAGGGGATTTTACAAACTAACTCTTAAAAACAATTTTCAAAACTTTACAAACATGCTAGACAAAAAGGCACTAGAGTGATGTAATGTAATGCACGACTCTGGACTAGAACTTAAGCAAAGAAAAATTTTTCTTTTATAAAAAAGCACATTATTAATCATCATATTAAAGTATTTAGGAATTGTATATGCAACAGTCAAACAGTTCAAATACACACAACACACACAGAGGAGACTGATAAAGCAAATGTGGTAAAATCTCAACATCTGGGGACTATGGGTAAGGATATAGGGGGATTCTTTATACTACTTTTTTACTTTTCTCAAACAGTCTCTGAAAAGACTTCAAAAAAATTTTTTAAAAGAAACAAACACGCACAACAAAATCAACTGAACGTATTTTTTAGCCCTTCCATTACTTTTTAAATCTCCCATTACAGCAGCTACTGCTGATTTTTCATTCTATTAGCTCTGTGTGTCTACTTCAAAGGGGACTTCTTGTAGATAGTATACAGCAAAATTTTGCTTTCAAAAAAATCCAATCTCACCATCTCTGGCCTTTAATTGGAATGTTTACACTCTTCACATTGATATATTGGATTTCATTTATTTTTTACATTTTAAAAGGACAAATTTATTAGGAAACAGAGAATGGAAAAGAGAGACACCTGCATAGACACAGGAAGGCAGAGTTTCCACAGTTGCTTTGTAAAGGAAAATGGTTTGTAAGAAGGAACATCTGCATAGTCACAAGCATGCAGGAAAGCTGCATGATATAATGGATTTTACATCTACCACTCTGCTCTTTTCTTTCTTTTTTTAAATCCAAAAAGGGTAGGTATATTAGGAAAGGAGACACTTGCACAGATGTAATTCTGCTGTACAAAGGGAAAGGTTAAAATAGACGAATGCACAGACACAGACAATCTTGGAACGACAGCTTCCTGTTTATTGTATGTCCTGCTGCTTGATCCACTTCTCCCACTTTCTTTGGATAAAGTATTTTTTGGGATTCCATTTTATTTCTACTACTAGTTTATATTCCTTTCATCCTCCAGTGGTTTCTCTAGGATTTACAGTATATAACTGAAATATACTAGGAAATTAGAAAGGCTCTATTTAATAACAAAGGAGATTTCAGAACAAAGGACATTACTAGAAATCAGGAAGAACATTTCAAAATAACAGAAGTTTCAATTAATTATAAAGGCCTAACCTGAAATATATGTTAACCTAATGACATAGCGTCACAATATATGAAGACAAAAAATGGAAAGCATAAACAGACTCATTCACAATTACAGCTGGAGTCTTCAACACTACTCTCAGTAGAATGAGTATACAGAAAATGAGTAGGCTATAGAAAACTCGAACAAATCTATCAACTCTTGACTTCTGACATTTGACATTTACACAACATTCTATTTAATGAAGTAGAATATCTTCCTTTTGTAGTGCAAATGGAACATTCACCCAGACCATATGCAGAATCATAAAACAAGTATCAACATATTGAAAAGAACTGGAACCACATAAATTTCTCTGATCACAAAAATTAAAGTAACAGCAGAATGTCTGGAAAAAACACTATATATTAAAAAAAAAAAAAAAAAAAAAAAAAAAAAACACCTAAACATGATCCTAAATAACTCATAGGTCAAAGAAATGGTAAGTGATGCCAGCAAATACCTTTACCTGGGGGAAAATGAAAATACAGTATATGAAATGTGAGGAATGCAACTATCATCACGCTTATCATATCTATTATCAATGATCTAAGTGTCTTCAGAGGTTAAAATAAGAACAAATTAAGCCCAAAGTAGACAGAAATAATACAGAAATCAATGACATAGAAAACAGAGAAGTAACAAGTGAAAGAGTAAAATTAAAAAAAAATGGTTCTTTGAAAATATAAACAAGGTTAATAAACATTTAGCCAGATGGATGGAAATAAAAAAAGCAAAGCACCAACCGCAAACAGGTTTGACAGATGTTAAAAGGCACAACATTAACTCAATATATGTAACTTAAAGATTTTATGAAATACAAACTTCTAAAAGGAATTAAAAAGGAAACCAAAAAACTGGAAAGTAATATGAATACTGAAAAATTAAGTTTTTAACTAAAAAACTTGCCCACAAGAAAACTTCAGTACTAGATGGCTTCACTGGTGAATTTCATCAAACATTTAAGAGGAAGAAGTTATACTGATCTTACCAAAAACACACTTTAAGAGAACAGATTGGGAATTAGAATTATTTCTATCCAAACCTAAGTCAAATTTACTCCATGAACAGGTTGTAAAGATTGCTGGGAATAAGACACACTGAGAAACTTTTCCTTCAACTCTCCCCTGTATGTGAAATATCTTTAACATGTATTTAGATCCTTCTTTCCTTAAAAGGAGGAAACACTCTCAATGAATATAATAGGCTCTATTTTACTACCATTATGGAATTAATTACCTCTGCTTCTCTTTTCTTTGCCCGTGCTTTCTCTACTTCATCCATTACTTTCTGCGATTCTTCCACATTCCCTTCAGCTCCTAGTTGTTCCACTTTGGCCAACAATTTGCCAATTTCTTCATTTAATTCATGAACACGTTCTGCCTATAAACAAAAGATCATGAACAATAAGCTGAATGAGTATCAAAGTTCAAAATATTTCAGAAAAGCTAAGGCAAATAAGAGTATAAAAAATAATTTCTGGGCCTATCAAAATGAACTGGTGGGATATCCAGGTCTTTAGAACCTTCTTGTCTTCACCACAGGCGGTCAGAGATACCACCGATCTTCATATACCTATTAATTTCCACACTGCTCACGCAGTGTTGCATAAAATGTCCTTTCTTCCATGATGTGATCCATTGTACCTTTTTATATCTTCTCTTTTTTTTTTTTTTTAAAAGATTTATTTATTCATACAAGCACTGAGTACAGTCAGAAGCATGGGAGGGTGAGAGAATTCACCAGAGCCAGAGCAGGGAACAGAACAGGCAGAGTGATGAAATACACTGCTGAGGGGAGCAGCGGGCGCAGCAGGAGAGGTCTGTCGTGCCATGTGGGATCCTTGCCAGTGGCTGGGGATCGAACCGGTGCTGCAGAGGCTGCGGGCAGCTTCGCAGCCCAGCGCTCAACCGCTGCGCCACCAGGGGAGGCCCTTTATATCTTCTCTTGATATTACCCCACTTGATGACAAAATCTAGTTTCATTTAGTTTCCCAAAACTCTGACTTTACACATAAGCTTCCTGGGATTCATTTCTTTTTTTTTTTTTTTAAGATTTATTTTTATTTATTTATACAAGCACTGGGTACAATCAGAAGCGTGGGAGGGTGAGAGAATTCACCAGAGCCAGAGCGGGGAGCAGAGCAGGCAGACTTACACTGCTGAGGGGAGCAGCAGGCAGCAGGAGAGGTCTGCGTGCCATGTGGGACCCTCCTCCTGTGGCCAGGGAGCAGCTGGCGATTGAACCGGTACTGCAGAGGCTGCCGGCAGCTTTGCAACCCAGTGCTCAACCGCTGCGCCACCAGGGAGGCCCCTGGGATTCATTTCTTACCTCCCTTGCCTGCCTAGTGAATGTCTATCCACTGAACAAGATGCAGCTCCGGAATCTTTTCTGTGACAATGCTTCACATCTCACCTCCACACCTCTGCAGTATCTTTCCATGCAAGTAGAGATGACCATACTTCTCTGTCTACCACTGCATCTTTTTTTTGTTTTAAAGATTTATTTATTTATGCATACAAGAGCTGGGGCACAGGCCAGAGATGCAGGGGGTGAGAGGATCCACCAGAGACAGAGTGGGCAACAGAACAGGCAGACTGACTGAAATACACTGCCGAGGGGAGCAGCGGGCAAGACCAGAGAGGTCTGCCTCGCCACGTGGGTTTCTCCCTGGCCGGCTGGGGGTCGAACTCACGCTGCAGAGGCTACGGATTGCTTCATAGTGCGGTGCTTAACCCTTTGCGCCACCAGGGAGGCCCAACCTCTGCATCTTATCTGACAATTATTTTGATCTGTATCAAACCACTTTAAATACAGCCATCTGTATTTTCCATCTATTTTCACTGTGCTACAAACAGCATAGGCTCAAATATGAGTAAAAGGAATACATGAATTGGTATATACATTTTAAAACAAAGATACAACTTCAGAGTCTAAGAGGCCTGGCTCACTGTCAAGCCAATGTGCAATTTCGGCCAAATTACTTAACCCAAATCCTCTTCCTCATCAAAGAAGTAGAGACAAAATCTATCTCAGAAAACTGAGAAAAGAAAAAATGTACCTTGTACATACAAGGCACAGCATGCTGTTGATTCTCAATCTACTAGCATGGCACCCCCAGTGTGCATCTTTCCATTGGAATTAATTCTTGCCTTGGAAGACAGGCCTCATCACTAAAATTATCCTGGGAACCCAGTTGATTCCTACTTAAAACAGGCATAAGATTCATATACATATTCTTTATTCTGGCCACAAGGTACTCATTATGTGTGGCAATTTACATTAGCGGAGAAGATGTTCATAATTTGATATGAACATCCAGTCCAAACTAGTGTGCCAAATCATCGTTACTTCTCAAATTTCCTTCAATCCAAGATATTCATCCCTCAAAGAAATTCAACTCTATTTCATTACTCTACCTCTTCAATACTGATATTTTTCTTTAAATGTGTGTCATGGAAGGACTAAAACCTCAAACTTGAGGCCTCCCTGGTGGCGGACAGAGTTAAACACAGCACTCTGAAGCTGACTGCAGCCTTTCCAGCACGAGGTCGATCTCCAGCTGGCCAGGGAGCAACCCACTTAGCACAGCAGACCTCTCCTGTCTACCCCCACTGCTCCCCTCAGCAGTGTATTTCAGTTAATCTGCCTGTTCTGTTCCCCACTCTGTCTCTGGTGGATCCTCTCACCCCTACACCCCCCGCATCTCTGGCCTGTACCCCAGTTCTTTTTTTTAAAAAAGATTTATTTATTCATGCATACAAGAACTGAGGTACAGGCCAGAAGTGTGAGGGTGAGAGGATTTACCAGAGATGGAGTGGGGAACAGAAAAGGCAGATTGAAGTACACTGCTTAGAGGAGCAGGGGGCAAGCCAGGAGAGGTCTGATGCGCCATGTGGGTCTACTCCCTGGCTGGGGATCGAACTTGTGCTGCAGTGGCTGCTGATAGCTTCATAGGTTGTGTCTTAACCCCTTCCACCACCAGGGAGGGCTACCCCAGTTCTTGTATCCATAAATAAATCTTAAAATAAAAAAACCCTCAAACTCTTCACCCTTCCCTACATCCACTCCCTGATACCTGTAACTGCATACTATCATACCCATGCCCTGAACTAGCATTTAACTGACTTACACTAATAGGGTGGCAGCAAATGTGACATAAGGAAAAGCCTGAAAACACTTTCTGATTGTGCTGAGTGCTCTGCACCTCTGCCATCACAAATGAGAACATGAGGAGGCTCACCTACTAGGCATGGCTCAGGAGCTCCTGGTGAGTGAGCCCCGCTGAAACAGGAATAACTGCCTAGTCAAGTTTAGCCTAAATCATAAGCTCTAGTAGACTCATGATTCTAAATACTGTTTATAAGTCAATGAGTTTTGAGGCAGTTTGTGAAACAGCATTTTTGAAGAGATGAATAGGTATAAACCAACAGTGTTAGGGATCTTCCACAGCACTCATGGATTTCGTGAGCTATTAGGTCCTTCATGTTTTAGGATGTTCTTTATAATCCCTATCAGCAGAGAATGTTTCAGAAAAAGATGGCTGACACTCTGTCCTCAAACAAGGAAGTCCATTTTCCTTTGTACAGATGTATCGAACACTACATTTAATGCTGTCATCCAAACCCTTACCTGGGTAACACTTACTATTTTGTATTATCACAAAATATACCAGACTACATCGAATGGTACAAAATGTTCTAAAGTAAGTCATTAAGTCAACAAAATGCAATTTCTGGACCTTATTCGTTTTGTTTTGCTTTGAATTCTTTTTTATTATTTATTTTTAAAGATTTATTTATTCATATAAGAGCTGGGGTGCAGGCCAGAGATGCAGGGGTGAGAGGATTCACCAGAGACAGAGTGGGGAACTGAGAGGAGCAGTGGGCAAGACAGACAGCGAGACAGCAGGTCTGCTGTGCCATGTAGGTCACCTCCCTGGCCGGGGATCAAACTTGTGCTGCAGTGGCTGCGGATAGCTTCATAGGGCTGCATCTTAACCCCTTGCGCCACCAGGGAGGCCCTGGACCTTATTTGGATTCCAACTCAAATAAATCAGCTATATAGGGAAGACTGAACACATTCTGGATTTCAGATATTTACTTTTTATAGGTGAGGTTTCATGGTTATGTCCTTTCCCAATATTTATTTTTTTATGTATGCAAGAACTAGGATGGGGCCTCCCCAGTGGCATAGCAGTTGAGCACTGGGCTGCGAAGCTGCCCGCAGCCTCTACAGTGCCGGTTCGATCCCCAGCCACCGGGCGGGAGTCCCACATGGCACGCAGACCTCTCCTGCCACCCACTGCTCCCTTCAGCAGTGTACTTCGTCAGTCTGCCTGTTCTGCTCCCTGCTCTGGCTCTGGTGAATTCTCTCACCCTCCCGCGCTTCTGACTGTACCCAGTGCTGTATAAATAAATAAAATATTAAAAAAAAAGAACTAGGATGTAGGCTAGGGTTGGGGGCGGTGGAGAGAGAGGATTCATCAGAGACAGAGTGGAGAGCAGAATAGGCAGACTGACCTGAAATACACTGCTGAGGGGAGCAATGGACGAGAGAAGAGAGGTCTGCTGTGCCATGTGGGTTAGCTCCCAGGACAGGGATCAAACTTGTGCTGCAGTGGCTGCAGATAGCTTCATAGTGCTGAGACTTAACCCCTTGTGCCACCAAGGAGGCCCATATGCTTATGCTTTCAAAATGAAAAAAGATATCTGGAATTTGCCTTTAAAATAATGAAACAGGGCCTCCCCGGTGGCACAGCACGTGAGCGCTGGGTTGCGAAGCTGCCTGCAGCCTCTGTAGCACCGGTTCAATCCCTGGCCGCTGGCGAGGGCCCCACATGGCACACAGACCTCTCCTGCCACCCGCTGCTCCCCTTAGCAGTGTACATCATCAGTCTGCTTGCTCTGTTCTCCGCTCTGGCTCTGGTGAATTCTTTCACCCTCCCGAGCTTCTGACTGTACCACAGTGCTTGCATAGATAAAGAAACAAAGAAATCGGGCCTCCCCTGGTGGCGCAACGGTTGAGCGCTGGGCTGTGAAGCTGCTCGCAGCCTCTGCAGCACCGGTTCAATCCCAGGCCGCCGGGGAGGGTCTCACATGGCGCGCAGACCTCTCCAGCCGCCCGCTGCTCCCCTCAGCAGTGTACTTCGGTCCTTCTGCCTGTTCTGCTCTGCTCTGGCTCTGGTGAATTCTCTCACCCTCCCACGCTTCTGACTGTACCCAGTGCTTGTATAAATCAATCTTTAAAAAAATAAATACATAAATAAGTAAATAAATCTTAAAAAAATTAAAATAAAATAAAATAATGAAACATGGGCCTCCCTGGTTGCTTTGGTGCTATCATCAAAGTCTCCGCACAGCCTGAGTTCAATCTCTCACAGGGAGCTAACCCACACGTGGTACAGCAGATCTCTCCTGTTTCGCCCGCTGTTCCCCTCAGCAGTGTATTTCAGCAGATCGCCTACTCTGTTCCCCATTCTCTCTCTGTTGAACCCTCTCACCCCCTGAACCTCTGGCCTATACATCAATTCTTGTATGCATAAATAAATATTAAAAAAAAAACCATATGTGGGCCTCCCCTGGTGACGAAGTAGTTGAGCGCTGGGCTGCGAAGCTGTCTCCAGCCTCTGCAGTGCCGGTTAGATCCCTGGCCGCTGGCAAGGGTCCCACATGGCATGCAGACCTCTCCTGCCCCACCCGCTGCTCCCCTCAGCAGTGTGTTTCGTCATCTGCCTGTTTTGTTCCCTGCTCTGGCTCTGGTGAATCCTCTCACCCTCCCGCGCTTCTGACTGTACTCAGTGCTCGTATGGATAAATAAATCTAAAAAAAAAAAAAAAACCCGAAACCAAAAACAAAATAAAAACATGTGAATGATTTTCCATACCGTGGACTACTCCTCAGAGAAAAACAAAAACAAAAACAAAAAAAAACAAGAATGACCTTCTGGAACATACCACTTGAATGAATCTTCAAAAGGGTGCTGGTGGGGGGAAGTGGGGGAGCCAATCTCAAAAGGATAAACACTGCATTTATTACATTTATGCAATATTTCATAAAATAACCTAACAATAGAGACGGAAATTAGTGGCTGCCCAGAGGCTAGGAATGAGAGGGGATGGGTGTGGGTATATAAAGGAATATAGGGACCTTGTGGTGATGCTACAATTAAGCAACTAAATTGTGATGGTATTTATCCAAGTTACACGTGATAAATTACAGTAACACAAATACACACAAAGGAGTATATGCATAAACAGGGATAATCTAAGTAAAATTGAACCAGTATCAGTTTTTTTGCTTTGTTATCGTATTGTACTTCCGTAAAATACTACTATAAGAGGCAGCTAGGGCCTTCCTGGTGGCCCAAGGGGTTAAGACATAGTGCTATGGATAGCACTATAAACCTATCCGCAGCCAGTGCAAGCATGAGTTCGATCCCCGGCCAGGAAGCTGACCCAGATGGCATCAGCAGACCTCTCCTGGTTTGCCCACTGCTCCCCTCAGCAGTGCATTTCGTCAGTCTGCCTGTTCTGCTCCCCACTCTGTCTCTGGTGAATCCTCTCACCCATCCCTCCCCCACACCTCTGTCCTGTACCTCAGTTCTCGTATGCACAAATAAATAAATCTTTTTTTAAAAAAAAGTAATAGCTAGAGGAAGAAAATGTAGAATTCCCTGTATACATCTTTACAATCTCCAATAAATATAATTACATCCCCCCCTTCCAAAAAAAGAGAGGTCAGAACAATGGAGAAAAATATTTTTAATGAACTTTTTAAAAAGTAGAAAATTGAGACATTACTTTGCACTAATGAATTTTTACCTTCGCGGCCACTTCAGCACTAATCTCTTCTTGAGTTTCTGCTAATCTTTTCTTAGCCACTTCTGTTCTTCGATCACAATCAGCAATGAATGACTGCAGGTGATCCATAGCCTACAAAGTTTAATTTAAAGAGTTACTAGCCAGAAAAACAATTTTATATATATAAAAGTTTGCTTTTTAAAATGCTACCAAGGAAGTTAAAAGATAACGAGAATGAGGAGGTTCAACTATGAATTGAAAATACTGTTCATTATTCAACAAAATTACTTAGAATAAACATAAATAATTACCAGGAAAGGCATTTGCATCAAGAAACTGTGCCTTGCAAATATATATTATGCTGAAGAAGTACAAACCAGTGCAGTATTAATAAAAAAAGGCAAATGGTAAATGATACCAAAATTCATACAATATTTTGACTTAATTTTACTTCCAGAAATTGTTTTAAGAAAGTAATCATAGATATATGGAAGGACTAATATTCAAAGATGCACCTCACCCTGCTATTAATAACCATGAAAAGTTGTAAATACCCTAAATATCGAGCTAACTCCTAAAATGTTGATCTTCAGGCACTGAAAATAGGTTTTCATAGAAGGATATAAGAAAATACTCAGATTCATTTATAAATAAAAGGCACATTATAAAATGTTATTTTATAAAAATTTTTAAAATAAGCATAGAAAAAGAAGAGCACACAAAATGTTAACTATAATTTCTGAATGATTAAACTTCAAATTTGTTTTTGTGTCTTTCATGTTTTCCACAATAAAAAACTGCCCTCATCATATAAATTATTTATATTTATATAAATTGACTTCTAAAATTTATATGGAAATATAAATTTTATAATTATACTAAAATAGCCAGTACAGTATTTATATAAAGACATTTGTCAGACATATATAGTAATGTCTATAATTAATTATTTGAAAGTTAACTCGGATTTATTTCCAAGTTAAACAATTCAGACTTTCCTATCTTATCATACAGAAACACATTTAATTTATATAACAAATATAACTGCTCAGCATACATCAAATTCTAAAAATGGTTGTCTACCCCAAAAATTTCTTGAAAGTGAAAAGCAGTAAGGTTCATATAAAAGCTTTTACTCTAATGACAGGGAAATATGTATTTCACTACTTTAAGACATATCTTTTAGGTCACAACAGAACTCTATTAAAAAGTCTATGGGGGGGCCTCCCCGGTGGCGCAGCGGTTGAGCGCTGGGTTGTGAAGCTGCCCACGGCCTCTGCAGCGCTGGTTCGATCCCCGGCTGCTCCCCAGCCACCAGAGGAGGGTCCCACATGGCGCGCAGACCTCTCCTGCCGCCCGCTGCTCCCCTCAGCAGTGTCCTTCGGTCCTTCTGCCTGCTCTGCTCCCCGCTCTGGCTCTGGGGAATTCTCTCACCCTCCCGCACCTCTGACTGTACCCAGTGCGTGTATAAAAAAACCAAACAAACAAACAAACAAATAAATAAATAAATAAGACATGCCTCTAGAAAAATTAAAAAAAAAAAAAAAAAGTCTATGGGGGGCCTCCCCGGTGGCGCAGCGGTTGAGCGCTGGGTTGCGAAGCTGCCCGCAGGCTCTGCAGTGCTGGTTCGATCCCCGGCTGCTCCCCGGCCACCGGAGGAGGGTCCCACATGGCGCGCAGACCTCTCCTGCCGCCCGCTGCTCCCCTCAGCAGTGTACTTGGGTCCTTCTGCCTGCTCTGCTCCCCGCTCTGGCTCTGGTGAATTCTCTCACCCTCCCGCGCTTCTGACTGTACCCAGTGCTTGTATAAATAAATAAATAAATCTTTAAAAAAAAAAAAAAAAAGTCTATGGGAAGATTAAAGCAGAGACAGAAATAATGGATTACTCAATATGTAATGTTGAGTCAACTAGGTAGCTATGGGGGTGAGGGGTGCATATCTGTATACCTAAATTCCTTACACAAGGCTAATTTTAAGTTGGATCAAAATTTTAAGTGCAGAAAATTAAGTTATAAAAATACCAGAATAAACCCACAGGAGTTAACTCATGTCAGAATAAAGGAAGTCTTTTGAATTATCCTAATAAATTTCAAAAGGCTAATAAATTATACAACTAAAAATGTAGTCTGCAAGGTCCACAACCACCAGAAGAAAAACAAGATAAAAATCTATCTGAAAATATTAAAAAAAGAAAAAAAAATCATCTGAGAGAAGAGATTAATTTTCATAAGTAAGTACAAATCAGTCAGAAAAATGCTGACAACTGAGACTAGCGAATCGTCCACAAAATAGTTGTACATTAACACCTTGCTGCAAAGGAAATATAAACAGACTTAAATTAGTTATGTTCAAACTCACATATTTCACCATTCAAAGTTGCCACACACTATATAGCCAGAAGAGAAATAGATAATCTCTTATTAGTAGTGGGAGTGTAAACTGATAATTCTCATGGAGAAGATGTTGGCAAAATTTTTCTTTGACTCAGTTTCCTACTTCTAGAAATTTATTCCATGGCTACTTGATATATAAGAATCATACCATAGGTTAAAAAAAAAAGTAGACATCCATATTCCTACATCTAGATACAGAGTGGTCCTTCTGTACTTTATGTTCAGTATAAATTGAATCACAGTCCAATTATTTTGAGGTGTTTCCTTAAAGCCCCTAATTAAACTGTTTCAGCCCCATGGTGAAAGAAGCCAAAGGAAAAAGAAAAATATTGGATGGTTTCACTTATAGGAGGAATATAGAGGAACCAAATATAGAGGAACCAAATAAGGGATCGGGGGAAAATGATAATTATAAATTAAAAAAAAAATTAACAGGAAACTATAAATCAGAGAAATTCTGCAGGGAGGGAGAGGGATCAAAACAGGGAGAGCACAAGGGACTAGGGTGATGGTGCACAGGTGAGCTGGTGATGGGAATTTTACAGGGACTACACCTGAGAGGAGAAAGCAGATTGTAAAAATTGAAGAATGATGTATAAAACACATAAATGAAAAAAAAAAATTGTTCAGCCCCATATTAAGATACATTACATAGATTTCATTTAGTAGAAAATTCTTGGACGTTCAGAAGTAGACAGTGTGGTTTTATTTACTGCTCTGTCTCCCAAAACAAAATACCTAGTACACCTCACTGATAAAAAGTATAAGACTTATGCTCATCAGTATGGTTTACGTAATGCCAATTAGAATCATTTCTGTAACTACGGAAAAAAAAAAGTTTCCCTGTTTTCATGCAAATAATTCTCATTTGTATGAAAATACAATATAAATACAGATTTTGAGCCCTATACATGACATCTTCCATATCGTCTTACTGTTCTTACATATAAAATATAAAATACTGTCCATATAAAATATAAAATATGCTCCCTTTCACTACATATGTATTTAGACACAAAAACAAGTATGAATGTAAAATTACAAATTATTACAGAACATTATAAACATCTGAAGTTAGTTTACCTTTGCTTAAATTGGTATTTCCTTAATTATTGGTACTTCATCTCAAAGAATGTTTAATTTTTGAAAGAATATAGGAATTGCATGACTTTTTAGACATTTTTTAAATACCCAGTTTCTCATTTTAATTTAAAAAAATTTACATCTCAATTTAGTACTACTCTTCATATAATCATAAAGGCTAAAAGCATTTTCCTACTGAGATATTAATCCATATGAAAATGTTTCATTGCAAAAGATAATCTAACCCACTGAAGCAAAAATCACATACATCAAGTTCGAAGAAAAAATCTTGTTCTTTGGATGCAATTTCATAATCTGCTCTTAAAGCCAGGTCATGGACTTTCAGACATTCTCCAAGATCCATTCTCTAGGGAGCAAAAAAAAAAAAAAAAAAAAAAAACAACAAACACAGAAATCACATTATTACGGAATCAGAAATCACATTTTTCAAAAATGTGTTTTTAACAACCATAATTCTCTTCAGAATAAAGTCACAGAGATGCTTCTTTATTTATGAACTTTCAAATGTAAATTTTGATAGGCAAGTATAAAACTTGGTGCCAGAAAAAAACAAAAAACATCAATTGTGTTTACTTAAATAGTACATACTTCTATAGTTAAAAGAAAAGTGTCAAATCTGAGATAAGTTTCAAATTCTATAGCAAATCGTTTCACTTGGCCCTCTAACACAGAAAATATCAGTTAATATAAAATCTAACTAAAAGAAGGTGTAAATCAAATTGCTGATTCATAGTATTCTTTGAAGAACATTCTGATTTTCAAATAAAGATTGGAGTCCTCAAATAATCTCATAGAGTTTAATTATTATTAAGACGTAGTATGTCACAAAAATAAGTATCTAATCCCACCTATGATAAACATATAGAGGAAATAAAATATCCCTACTGATCCCAGGATGTCCTTATATTTACAATTCCATTTAGACATCATTTACACCAAAACCATAGGCTTTTCTCTTATGTAAACAATCCCAAAAACTTTATTAAGATATATAAATCTAAGGCAACTGAAGGCAAAGAATGGGTTAGATACAAGGACAATTACAAAAGTGACTTATGGGTGATCACAGTTAAGCAGAGATTTTCCTTCCAACTGGAGTTATGATATCCTATCACTAGAAAGTCTGTCTCAGGAGGGTTGGTGAAAGGAAGTACAATAATTTGAGAATGTAATGTATATATTACTTTTGTTTTTGCTGCACAAACTACACATAAAGTAAAATTATAGCAATGAAAGTGCAATTAATGCGGTAAAGTCAACCATTCAATTAATAATCCAGTACCCACTTGTGTCAAGCACAAGGTGCTAGGGATACAGATACAGTCTTTGACTTCATGGAGCTGACATTCTAGTAGAGAAGAAACAAATAATAAACCTATGGTCTATGAACAAAGCTAGTGACCTGGTAAAACAGTAATGCTCTCATAACTGTGGGAGAACTTGGGATGAAAGGGTTACAGAAAACCTTTCTCAAGAGGACACATTTCAAATGAAGTCAAGGCGTGAGAGCAAGCAAACTAGTCTTAGGAAAAGGTGAAATTAAAAAAAAAAAAAAAAGTGTTCCAGGTTTTACACAAGATTTAGAAAGTAAATCTTTTAAAACATAGATGCCATTATTAATCACAAGGACATTTCTTTTTTTTTCTTTACATTTGATGTATCTTGAGAATGTTCCATGTGCACCTTCGAAGAATGTGTATTCTGATGTTGAATGGAATGCTTTATAGATGTTTGTTAGGTCCACTGGTATAAAGTATGGTTCAAGTCTACCATTTCCTCCTTAATTTTCTCTCCGGACAATCTTTTCACAGGGACATTTCTAATAGCAGGAGACAGGACTACAGTCTCTACACCATAGGTCTTGAGGTTTTGCCTTTAACATTTTTGTCAACAATGATTCACCAGATAAACATTCAAAAAACAGACAAACCATGTAAAATTTAAAAGAAATACACATGAAGTCCTATTGTTATATTTAAGATGACAAATTTACAACTATCAGGTGTGAGCAAAAAAATTAGACAACTCAGAAAACCTACCAGTCAAGAGTTAAGGGTTACAGTATGGTATGTCTGAGATAAATGTGTATGATATGAAACTAACTTGTAGAATATACAGTATGAGCAAAGTGAGAAATTTCTTACCAGACTGGTTTTAAAAGCAATTTCTCACCTCCAAAAGAATGTATTCTGTATGCCAACTAACACATTTTGAAAGGAGTAAAAATAAAGTACCTCAAAGTTATACAAGAAAGCCAAAGAACAGATGCAATTTGCTATAGAAAAGGAGAATCAAGGTATGAATCTGGTTACCTATCAAATGGGTAACTTTTCATTATCTCAGAAGAACTCCAAAGAGTCAGATTTTAACCCTCTCAATTATAAGAAAATATTTTTTTTTTAGGATTTATTTATTATTTATGCATACAAGAGCTGGGGTACAGGCCAGAGGTGTGGGGGTGAGAGGATTCAGCAGAGACAGAGTGGGGCAATAGAACAGGCAGACTGACTGAAATACACTGCTGAGGGCAGCAGTGGGCGAGTCAGGAGAGGTATGCTGCGCCATGTGGGTAGCTCTCTGGCCGGGGATCAAACTCATGCTGCAGTGGCTGTGGACAGCTTCACAGGTTGCATCCTAACCCCTTGCGCCACCAGGGAGGCCCAAGAAAATATTTTCTAATGCACTGAGCTTTGCAAAGATGGAATAAGCTTCCCCAGTAGTTACTGAGATTCCAGATATCAGAAAAACCCGTTACAGTTTAGACAATGGCTTTTCTAGGATATGGAAGAAAGAATTCAAACCAGAGGCCTCCCTGGTGGCGCAAGGGGTTAAGATGCAACCTATGAAGCTCTGCGCAGCCACTGCAGCATGAGTTCGATTCCCCAGCTGGCCAGGGAGGTGACCCACATGGCGCAGCAGACCTCTCCTGCCTCGACTGCTGCTCCCCTCAACAATGTATTTCAGTCAATCTGCCTGTTCTGCTCCCCACTCTGTCTCTGGTGGATCCTCTCACCCCCCACATCTCTGGCCTGCACCCCAGTTATTATATGCATAAATAAATAAATCTTAATTCAGGGCCTCCCTGGTGGCGCAGCGGTTGAGTGCTGGGTTGCAAAGCTGCCCACAGCCTCTGCAGCGTTGGTTCAATCCCCCGCCACCGGGTGAGGGTCCCACATGGCTAGCAGACTTCTCCTGCCGCCCGCTGCTCCCCTCAGCAGTGTACTTTATCAGTCTGCCTGTTCTGCTCTCTGCTCTGGCGAATTCTCTCACCCTCCTACGCTTCTGACTGTACCCAGTGCTTGTATAAATAAATAAATAAATCTTTTAAAAAAAAAAAAATTCAAACCATCAGGTCCCCTCCCAATCTTTTTAATCCCATCACAGAGCCTTATACCCTGTTTGGCCCTTTCCCCCTCCTCACTCTCTCTTTAAAAAAAAAAAAAATTTATCTATCTATCTATTTATCTATCTATCTATTTATTTATTTATTTATTTATGCATGCATGCATGCATGCATGCATGCATGCAAGAGCTGGGGAATAGGCCAGAGATGTGGGGGGGAAGGAGCGTGGGGTTTGTGTGAGAGAGGATTCACCAGAGACCAAGTGGGGAGCAGAACAGGCAGATCTAATGAAATACACTGCTGAGGAGAGAAGCAGGCAAGACAGGAGAGGTCTACTGCACCATGTGGGTCAGCTTCCTGGCCAGGGATTGAACTCACGCTTGCAGTGACTGTGAATTGCTTCATAGGTTGCATCTTAACCCCTTGCGCCACCAGGGAGGCCGCCTCAAATCCTTTTTTTTTTTTCCCCTGTGGGACCCTCGCTGGCGGCCGGGGAAACGAAACCAGCGCTGCAGAGGCTGGCGGGCAGCCTCACAGCCCAGCACTTAACCACAGTGCCACCAGGGGAAGCCCTCAAATCCCTCTTAATCTCAGGAACTCCACTTTACTAGTGTTCGCTAGTTCTTCTAAGTTTTTTGCTTTGTGAAACTGTCTGCCATCTAAAACACTATTTGCCTGTCATTCTGACTTGCTTTTACTACACATAATTTCCTCTAACTCCTTCCACTTTGCTGATAGGACAACAGTTCATCTTTCCTTATGGCTAAATACTATTGCACCGCCCAGTCCAACCTTTAAGTTTACATCTCACAATGACCAAAGAAAGAAAAGCACCTATGTGAGTCAAGAACAAAACCAAAAAGGAGGACACCAAAAAGAACACAATTATACCACAGTAGTGGGAGCAGAGTCTGAGTAGCAGAATTGGGCAGAAATTACATGTCTTGGGGGTCATTAAGGAGGAGAAAGAGTTATTAACTCAGGAGAATGTGGACTCCAAAAGGAAAAGGATTTTCTGTTTAATGAATTATGTAACTGTGCCTGGTATAAAGAGGCTTAATACAGCAGTTCTCTCTTATCTGTGGCTTTACTCTTTACAGTTTGTTAGCCATGGTCGTGTACAATAATATTTTTTAAGACAAAGACCATATTCACTTTTTTTTTAAATTATAATACAGTATATTAACACTTAGCACAGAGGCTCCTGGGTTTAACAAGCAAGGACAATCAAGATGCACACTAGAACAAAACTGGTCTGAGTTGTTTTTTTTTTAAAAAAAGATTTATTTATGCATACAAGATCTGGGGTACAGGCCAGAGGTATGAAGGGTGAAAGGATTCACCAGAGAGAGAGTGGGGAACAGAACCGGCAGATTGACTGAAATACATTGACAAGGGGAGCAGCGGGCGAGTCAGAAGAGGTTTGCTGCCCCATGTGGGAAGCTCCCTGGCAGGCCAGGGATTGAACTCATGCTGCAGTGGCTGCGGACAGCTTCACAGGTTGCATCCTTACCCCCTGAGCCACCAGGGAGGCCAGGTCTGAGTTTCTTGAGGGGAAGGCCTTAACCATCCTTGCGTTATCTTCTTGGATTTAGAATACTTTTCAGTGTTTTGAGCTATTTTTTTTCCCACTTATTCCTCCCCTGCAGGAGGTAGACTAGTTTGGTTTTTCACTATTTGGGGTCAACAGCCCCTGCAGTTTTAGAGTCTAATCCGGTTCACTACAGTAGATTTTTGGGGTCTAAGTCAAAAGAAGTGTTTTGGTGGTGGGAGAGCTACAATGACACACCTGAGGGGAGAAATCCTACACTTAAAAAATTGAATAAGGATGTAAAACGATGGTTCTCCATTAAAAAAATTTAAACACAGAATTCTTTTGCCTGAAATAGCCTCAGTGCTTTTTTTTTCAGGGGCCGAGCCTTCTAGTAGGTACAGAAGACAGATTTTCACAATTTTAGATACTAGTTATGTTTTCCACTGTTCACAACACTATCACAACTAAG